TGACTCTGAGTGCGAATTTTTTACTATATCTGGCAATGAGTTGACTCCGGTAGAGAGAGCATTCTTGTGAAGACAAAAAATCCTTAATTTAGCATAATCTGTTCGTAAGAGATGGGGTGCAAATTTAAGAGCGTTAACCATATATAGTCCCAGATTTTTAGATTGGTTGCTTGCTTGTAAACATACATTTACGCAGTCTTTGTCCAAAGATAAGGCGTTCAGTTTTATTTTTATTTAATACAAGGATGCGGGCTCTTACATGTCTACATAAATGGATAAGCTTAAGTTTCATCCTCTGTCATTTTGCAATTACATAATAAGTTGTGCGAATATAAATGGGTGTCGCTTTGACAGACTTGTGCTATAAAAATCTTAGTAACCAAAAACGTTATGTCATATCCCCTAGAGATTCTATATCAATGGGCCACATTTAGAATAATTTATACTTATTTTTTAAAACGTCTTTGAGTAAAGACCATGCAACAAAATAGGTACACATAATCATAAAGTATAGGATATAGGAAAAGCTTTACGAACTTGAGCATATTTTTCCAATCTAGCATCCTGTGCGCAAAATAACCTCAATTCGTTTACTTTTTAGCTCAAATCCGACCAAGAATCAAAACTTTTTAAAATCTCGAAGCAGTCGTGAAACTTTCACAATCCTTTCAGCGTAATCGTGGTTTCCAATCCACTTCGTCAGCATAAAGATACGAGAGTGGAACGCTGCATCCACAGCCTGACTCCTGAGTCTCTAAAAGCTCCGGGTCTGAGTCGCTCGTAACGTATTCCAACACACATGCATACTGTACAGCTCTGCCGCTCAATGTCGCATATGTGCATACACTCCTGCATCTGTCGCCAACACTAATAAAAAGAACCGGACACTGTATATGTTTTACCGCATTCATGTAGCGCACAGTGGCGTAGGATGAAGCTCAAAGTAGCGCATATACATATACGTACATCACGTTAAAATGTCTTAGAAACGCTAATCGCACTTTTCAATACCAAGGAGGCACCAACATGTGCATTTTTTTTCTCTCATCACAACTTTCTTTATGGTTTCATCCGCTTCATGAGATTTTTGTTCTTCTCCCAATCTGTTGGTCAATGCGTCTACTATTTTGTGCAAATTTTGCAAATATTTGTTTCAAATTTTTTCATACATTCTACTTTGCTGATAAGCTCTTCTCGAGATCCCGTACTGTTGCTAGTCGTTCTTTCTATTCTGTTAGCTCTTTAGCATCACCATAACGAGTAAGGGTACCTGCAGGCGCCCTCATTTGCTGCAGTTTTCTTTTTAAGGTTTCGTTCACAGTTAAGAGATGGTTATTTTCCTTCTTAACCGCATCAAAGATCTCTGGTTCGACAGAAGTTTTCCTCAAATTTTAGCTGTTAAGTCTCATCTACAGCCGTACTTTTGGATGTTAGCAGTAGTAACGGGTGGAAGGTGAAGCGTGGCGACTCTTTGCCGACCTTGTGTGTACCAACTTTATACTTCATATCATCAAATTCTTCTTTCATCATTTCCGACATTTTTTCTATCAAACTCCATCACGTCGAATATCTTAACCCGAGGCTGTGGTTCGATTGGACGATTCTCTATCTGTGTCCAGTATCCAGACCTCTTTGCCTGCCTGCAGTCATTACTCTCTCGACATACTTACCTCAGATCACTATATGCAAATCAATTAATGCAACGTTGACCTGGCGACCCGATCCAGAAGCCCCTGGCCCCTAACCTAGCCAAAGATCTCTTTCATTACTCGGTACTCCACTGTGTCCTTGATCCTTGGGCAGTTTCACTTTTCTTGTTTGGGCTAAACCCTGAAACTCTAGAGAGAGCGTCAATATGAAGATGCCTGATATACCGTCCTGAGGATACCTGGTGCAAAGCTATTGTAGTGGCTTTGCCTTGCACGTATAATCCCGATCCACTGGATCCTCTCGTTATTTTAGAAGGATCTGTCTGTAAAGCGCATGAGACTGAGGCGAGAATGTGTGATCTCACATTCTTCCTTACGTTGATGTTCGTGGCCCTCTCCACTGTTACTAATTATATCTGATCTTCGTTATATATCAGATCCTGGAGTGACCTGCACGGGTATTACGCATCTTCAAAAGTGACACTATGACGTCATGCATGTTTAGAACGACGACAAGCAATCTTTGAATCTTAGCGAGCGTGCGGCTTACCGAGTGTTGTTCCGAGCATTGTTTGTGACGTAATTAATTTCTTCCGTAATGGGTACTGAATTTACAGCCATCGGTAACAGAGGTCTCCCACTAAATCATATTAAATTTACAGGGAACTGTAATAGATTATCAATTTCAAATTTATACTGGATCCTATATTTTGAGCTATATTTTCAAAGCAACATAAAGGGTGTCGATTATATTTCCCTCATCATTATTTCCCCGGTGCAATTTGTTTAATTAATTAACTCTTAACAGAGTGCCTCCTTCAATTTGACATGTGACACAAAAGCTTTATTATTATTGTTATTATTATACATAATAGAGGAGTTGATCAAAAGCTGTACACTCCAAACAGAGATAAGAAATTAAACATAGAAGAAAAAGATTATGTTAGGTATAAGCAAACTAGAGTTCATCGTGCACCCATATGTCGAATCGTTTTCTTGAACCTATTAACTGTGGATGCAATAACAACGTCGTAGGGCAGCCTGTTCCAGGTATCAAACACTCGGCTAGGCAGGAAAAACTGGCGAGGTGTAGTTTCTCTTTCATTAGTTTATAGTTGTGGCAGGTACATACTCCTTTTTGGCCTTAGTCGTTGAGTATTGCTCGAACCATGATACAATAACTCCTAAATCTATATGACTGGAGGTAGGAGAGAGTTTCTGGTTCCTGATGAAACACAGCACGTCTCGGAGTTGAGGGGCAGCAGCCATCTTCTGGACCATTCGTAAACATTATTAAGGACGCGTTGAAGGATGTTACCATAGGCACGGGGTATATTGGATATCTTTGTGTCGACAGCATACAAGTTATGACACAAGGCAGGTCCGATGTGTGTGTGATAAACAGCAAACGTCCAAGGCGGAACCCTGGAAAACACCACTGGTCACCTACTGGTTGACAGTGAGTCGCCTACCCTCACCGTCAACTCCCTCTTACTAAGGAAAGTTATTATCCACTTCAACAGGTCTCCAGTGATTCCTAGGTGTTCCAGCTTGTAGAGAAGGTCTGTGTGTGGTAATCGCTCGAACTTGTTGAAGCTTCTTCCGAGTTTGTCACTTTTTACAATAAAAAAAGCGTCTTGACCTCGGAAAAAACTCCCCATTTGTGCTCTAAGTACGGTACTTATTACACAGATGGCATCAGTGGCGGCGAAAACAAACTGATTTTGCTGCTCCACATAATATGAAGCTAGCAGTTATTATGAAAAACAGGAAAAGTGATATAAATCGTGCTCATGTTTGGCCTTCAGATCACGCATCGATACTGTATCCTAAGTCTTATCACCAACGTCTAGATCCAATGCAAGACTTTTTACTCGTTGAGTTTCTCTTTTTAGCCCACATACCCTGCGGCGTTAAAATAACTCGCGGACTCGCGGTGTATAAATTAATCTATGTTGAACGCAATATGGAGACCACGTTCTTATATATCTGTTGCTAGGCGACGGTACAACTACATGTGAAACAATAGTCCGCACTGGTATTATGTAAAAAACTATAAAACGTCAAAAAAACCTATAAAATGTCATCTTGCAGATTAGGTAGTTTTTAGGGTGCAAACAGTCATTCAACGTTTGCTCACTAGGATCGTTGTGAGCATCCATCTATGGAGGAATGGCTCAACTACACGTCTACGCGCATTGTTGGTTGCATATGTTTTGTGAAGCTTAGTAGTCTATAATTTGCATCGGTGAGAAGAAAGTTGGTTCAATAGCAAGATCGCATATATCTATTAGCTGTGCCCGACGGATTATTGAAAAGTTGTCCTTTCTGAAGTCAGGTTATCTTCAAAGTTATGAATTACGATTGTTTACGTTTTTTGGTATTCTCGAGAACTTGTTGTATGTAATTACTGTTAGCATGTATGTGACTTGTGTCTACAGCAAGTACAATTATTTCTTGTCTCTCTCATTTTTTTAATTCAGCAAATTTGCATATGCAATTTCCAGAATGGATAAGAAAAAAGTGGATGCGCAACTAATTTCCAGCTTTGAATCTCAAGTAAGTGTATTTGAGAAAAGAGTCCAATGGAATTATCATCAACACATTTATTAGCACACAAATCCTCACTATGAACCTATACATTGCCGTTACCTCCAGTAATGCCATCTCTGAATGATTTTTCATCAGATCAGCTAGTGCTAAGTTAACATCTTGTAGGAAAACCTACATAATGCCACTAAAAACCAATATAATGTAAAAAGAAATTTTGAATAAAAAAAAGTACCTACTCTAAATGTCTTTACCAGATCGTAGATCAATTTTAGGGTGCAACCGCAACTTTACGTCGCACCAAAGAAATGCGTGCATAAATGTGCTCCAAGCGGCTCTTCATCTATGGTATTACTAATGTGTTTTCAGTCTCGATTACTAGTTTGAAACAAGAGAGGGTAGATAAGTGTCATGTCCCCCTGATAACGCCCCTGATTCAATGAAAACTGTGACGCGTATGTACTATGTGTGCAACGTGCCTGGAAATCGTATAAAACCGAGTAGTTTGTGGTAGCCTCGTAGCTGGGTTTATGGTAAACAGGCTGTTTGTTGACACGCCGTAGACCATTAGGAGAACTTTGTGATAGAGACAATTTGCATAATCTGCAAAAATGCAGTCTGGTCTGCTATGTTTACAACAGCCGACCGGCAGCGGGAAGATTTTATGATGACTAAGTAAATTTTCATTACTTGGAGACACCACAACTCTTTTTATTCGTTGTTTGTTTTTAGCGTTTATATTTCTCCGTTATGAAGCGCAATTTTGTTCTGTGTTTACAGTTCAGTTAAAAGTAATGAATCCTTCAGTAAAGTCAAACAATATAAAATTCCGTTCTTTGAATTGTAGCAACTTCTGCGGGTATTCTTTGCACCCGCACTTGTCGGAATTTCGATTCATGTTTTCTGTTGAAAAGTGCTTTCTGCGATTGTATGACCTGACAAACAGGTTTCCAAAAGTGCAAAAAATTGAGATATTGGAACGACATTTAAATAAATTTCTGTTTGCAATAATTTATGAGTAAAAATTCAATTTTTCGCAATTTTATAGAAAGCTTGATGACGTTCATCACTTGAATGCATACTAGCTAATTTTGAAGGATCTCTTCATTCAAGTTTTTGTAACCTTCTGTCCGTTTTCTGGTATTTTACATACTTCTAATTTCTTATATATTTTTTTTAAGGACACTCTGCGGGATGCGGCATAACAGACGAAGTGATACAATGGATGGACCGCATTCAGAACTCAGCAGCTGAAGATGAACCTCCTCCAACGCTTTTGTCGAAAAGCGCTCTTAGAAAAAGGAAGAAAGTGCCAGCTAGTCAAGGAGGGAAGAAATACAATGCAGATGGATTTGACAAGTAAGATACATTAAAAAAAAAAACGGTTTTGTCAGACTGAAAGATGCCAATTTTTTACATATTCATTTGTGGATTTTCTGAGCGCAAAGTTTAGCAGTTTGTCTACTGACGAATAGAAAAGCCAATTCGCTCCTCTCATTTTATTCATTGCGAAACTATTTTTTTAATATTGATGCGACCACCCAAGCAAAACCTAATTACCGGGGCACCGCGACTACTAGCGGTTAGCCCATTTTTGGAGATTTTGTGTTTTTATATCAAAAGATATAATGAGGAATCGGGCATTGATAGTACTGTTGCTTCTAGGTTAGTAAAGAATAAACTTGAGTCGAAGTGAATAACTCTGTTGCACATAGTTAAAAGAGCATAAGTCATCTTTTTCGATTTATGACAATATTACGTATTCGTTAAGGAGACGGCTATATAAACAATTCAGTAAAGTTGTATAAGTGGACATCTGATGGAAATGTCATTAAAATCACAATCAAAATTGAGGCTAGGATTAAACTCGTCTAGTTTCCTTGATAAAAAAGCCTATAAGTTGAGTTTATATTTTTAAGTTTGTTGAAAACATGGACTGCTCTTTTAACTATTCTATATGTATATAAATACGAATTGATTTTAAGTATATAGATATTTCTAGTTGGATTTGGGTCTAAAGAAATACAGTTTCTTGTTACAATGTTGTCGACGTTTCGGAATTTATTTTATCCTTCAGGCCTCTACAAAAAAAATTCAAAACAATAACTTTGAATATGCATCAATTAACAATTTAAATAGTAAACTCGAATTAAAAGATTATTAGTTTGGTCAAGGCATTATACATTAAAAGCTATATAAACTAATCCCCGTATTTCATTAACAAGATAGCAATTCCCAACATATACATAAAAAAATAAAAACAATGATAAACTGATTAAATAGATATTTAAAATAAACGAATAAGAAGTGTCCGAATATCAGAAGAAAAATAAACACAAACTATAGAACTCACCCAAAAGGGGTGGTAGATATCATTTATACTGCAACTGATCAATATAACAAACTAATACGACTATTATATTGATCAGTTGCAGTCTAAATGATTAGATGAGCATAACGTTGGATTATTTTTTGACCACCACAGGGGTTAAACGAAGACGGAAAGAACTTTTTATATATTTTTTATATATCTAACTAACCATTTTATGTTCTGTTTTATTTTTATTATTTTTGTAAGTATATGTTGGGAATTGCTATCTTGTTAATGAAATCCAGCGATTATTATAAATAGCTCATTTTATATAATGTTTTAACCATAAAAAATTATCTTTTACTTCGATTCTATTAATTAAATTATTAATTAATGTATATATGTATTTAGCCAGTGTTTTAAATGTTTTTTTTGTAGGTCACTGAAGAAGGAAACATTTTTTCCGAAACGTGGACAACTTCATAACCGGAAACTATATATCTTTAGACCGCAAATCCAATTAATTACAAGAAATTCATTTAAAAAAGGTCGTTAGAAAAATAAATTTTGTAAGTAGGATTTTTCGACTCGGACATTAGCAGAAATAAGACAAGGTTAGTTTCTGTTCTACGCATTTTGAAACAGTGGCCTGATCCTTCTAAACCAGAGCGCAAACTCGACCAATCTTAAGACGATTGTGAAGTATTGGATCTAATGAATATAGTCGATTTCTTATAAAATATCTCTCAAACTATAGAAAGTTATACAGTTTGTTTAAGTGATTCCCATATTCAGTCTAGGAATGCTTTATAAATCAACTGATTTAGTTAAGAACCGGCCACTAAATTTGCGACTAGGTCAACATTTCCACCAATCAAAAAGAACTAATCAAAAAGAAGGATTTGTGCCCTGCTCGAAACACGGATCAAACTTGATTTAATATCTGATTGATATGAGAGGAATTAATGACCAATTTATTGAAAATATCACTGTCACGACTTAAATGAGAGAGATGATCTTGAAAAAAGACATAGGTTTTTAATAATTGATCATTGAGGTTAGCTACAAAAGTGGTAGCACGACTACGCTACCCTTCCTTGTCACCATCCAGTAGAGGGCTCTGGTGGTATCATTGGGATAATCCAGACACATTAGCTGTAGATAGGTGAGCATCAAAGTGAGGTGGAAACAGGGTTATTCGCACGATAGCCAGGTAAATTGAACGTTTACTCGATTTTTGTTAGATAATAAACATTTTGTATTTCTACTTCAGTCTACAAGGAACTTATCACAAAACAATGACAAAAATCAATGATCTGGTTTGACTGACCTGATACAAACTTATAAAGAAAAAAAAATAGTTATTTGAAGCTATCCTCAATGGACATGATAGTTTGTTAAAAATATATCCTTTAGGAAGTAATTCCTATGCCAAAATTAGCGAGGAAGTATTGTAATCGCGAGAAATTTAATTGTGCTATTATGTTTTTTGGATGTTGTATTAAATGTACAAAATGAAAAACCATCACTCATTTCCGTCAGTGTGTCCGCTAATTTTATAACCACGTATAACTAGTCAAAGACTTTCTATCATTGACAAGCATCTGAACCCGGGAACAGCTGGGAAATTAAATGATAAATGTCCGATGTGTTATTATATTCGAATAATCTAGCAATCGGTAGCGTTGCGTGCACGGCGCGATGCTGCATCGTCGTGGAGGCCACTGCCGACTTTGCAATGGGTAACAAACTCCACCTGGTCTTCGGTGGTGTCACTGACACTTCGCTACAGGAGAAATATTTATATATTTTAGCAATATTTGGATGTTAGGAGTACGTGCTACTTTAGCGTTCTGAGATGCTTGTGTAAATGATGACTCAACTGTTTTTATATCTAGACATATATTTTTCTGAATTTTATGATCCTTAAATGTACCACCCATTTCACCTAACCTTTAATTTGTGTTACACCGCCTAAGATGGTTCTCTGAATACTTCGTCAAGTAGATTGACTTAGTACCTATTACGCAATGATATAAAACAGACACCGACAGACAAAACGACATAAATATACAGGGTGGGGCATCGAAAACGAAACAGACGCATTTACTGGCAGCTCAGTTTTTTTTTGAAAAACGCTCAGACCCGTCGATTTTGTTTTCGAGGGGGACATAAGTTTGGCAAAAAATCACGTTAACACGTGCAGCCCCCTGGGCGGGGGTGACACCAACCCTAAAATCTTAAATGGAAAGGGGGGTCGAGTGATACCTTCTTTTAAAGGTCTTTCGATTCCCTTTATAATGATGTAAAATTTATGTACTTCAGTTCAGAAGTTTTGAAGATTTTTGATTTAAAGCTTAAAGTAGACTTTAATAGGTACATCAGATTAGTTTGTACTACTTTCAGAAGAAATTTGACTAAAAGAATTTAATTAATAAGTAAATGCTTTTCTTCGCTACGCCCATGGTTTGTTTATCGTTTTGTTGTTGAAAATAGCTAATGGAGCGTTTTTTTGTGGCAAAAAAGTTATTTCTTGAAGAAAGATAAGGAAATATTTCGTACTTATTTTAAATAGGAATTTAGTACATAGTTTGCGATTGATTTGACCAAACTTTGTTGCTAAAATAACTTGTAACGCTTTATTACATAAATTAACCATGGTATATTCCACAGCAGAAAGAGTTGAAATTATCGAAATATTTTTCGGAAATAAAATCAGTGCGCTAATAGAACAGCAGAAATATTTAATGAGCGACATGAGAACAGTAACGTGCATCGAAAATATGTTCTAGAACTTGTAGCTAAATTTCGGGAAACTGGGTCAGTCGCCAATAAAAAACGCAACATTGAAAATCCCATAAGGAACTAAGCAATAGAAGTGGGGGTTTTAGTGAAAGTTTATATAGATCCTACATTAAGTACCCGCAAATTGGAGACTGTGTGTGGTGTTAGTCGACGTACTGTCCAAAGAATTCTAAAGGCCCATAGTTTTCATCCGTATAAAATTCACCTGGTGCAAGAACTTAATGAAGACGATTTTGATCGGCGATTACAATTTTGTGAAGATATGAGTGAACGACTTATAAACGATGAACATTTTCTATTCAACACTGCCGATATTGGTCCGATTCTAATCCCAGAATTTATCACGAGGTTCATACACAGCAGCCACAAAAATTGAATGTTTGGGCTGGTATTTTTGGCGATCATTTAGTTGGTCCTTTTTTCTTACCTGGAAATTTGTCCGGTGAAATGTATTTGGAATTACTGGAAGACGCCATAGATCCTGCATTAACAGCCATAATTGTAAATCAGAATGATCGGCGATACATTGCGAATAGGTTGATGCCCCACCACATTACGCATTACGTGTTCGACAATATTTAGATCAGACGTTTCCAGATCGATGGATTGGTAGAAGAGGTGCCATTGAATGGCCCCCAAGATCGCCAGATCTATCACCTTTGGATTTCTTTATGTGGGATCATTTAAAAAGCAAAATTTATGCTACTCAGCCAACATCATTAGAAGACCTGCGACAAAGAATTGTGAATGAGTGCCTTCAAATTACTCCTCAAATATTGCAAAATGTGCGGCAACGTTTTGAGCAAAATCTTTATTATTGCATGGAGACTCATGGTGGCCATTTTCAACATTCACTTGCCTAACAGGTCAGTTCATTCTTCATTTTTAAATTAAGTACTTTGCTGCCAAATGTATTGATCTCCACTAATGATGATGTATTAGTTTTAATTAAGCTTTAAATCAATAAATCTTCAAAACTACTGAACTGAAGTACATTAATTTTACATCATTATAAATGGAATTGAAAGACCTTTAAAATAAGGTATCACTCGATCCCCCTTTCCATTTAAGATTTTGGGGGTGGTGTCACCCCCGCTTAGGAGGCTGCACGTGTTAACGTAAATCGACGGGTCTGAGCGTTTTTCCAAAAAAAAACTGAGCTGCCACTAAATGCGTCTGTTTAGGTAGTCGTAGATTTTGAAAATCGATTCAGAGACGGCGGAAATAAAATCGCTAGAACATAGCGTTACAACGTTTCAGAGTTTCCTGCTCATTTTCAGACATTGTTTGGAGAGAATGGAATTGTAGTTGGAAGCAGTATGCGGTAAATGGTTTTAAATTGTTGCATATTTGGGGTCAGCGAAAGTCCTACCATTATTAAGAAGCTAATGATCTCAGTCATACTATGCCCGTATTATTAGTCCTGATAAGTATCACATATTTTCTCTATATATGCCATCTAAACAGAAATGAAATAGATTTGCTTCAAATAGTTTGATATGCAGTGCTCGAAGATTCATCATACCTAAGTGAATTTACCTAATCACGATTCGATTTCGCCTTTTGAAACGATTTGACTCATCCCTTTTCTTTGAAACCTCCATCGAAGGTATAGGAAGTATAGAGTCAATCTACTTGACGTCATTTCTTTCAAAATTATCTCTCTCACGCTCTCAGGTAGGTAGTGACACAGTTAATTTCAATGAAATGCTCAGTAATTGCTATCATATCAATGTAGATATTGTATCCATGTTTCGAGGAGGGCGTAAATCCTCCTCTTCAATTGGTCGAATTTGCTTCTAGCTTACAAATTTTAATTCTCGCGGGTCAGTAGTAAAATCGGATCTAAATTATCTTACTACCGATTTTCTCTCAAATAGGTGCCTGCACAATTTCCAGAAGTTTGGAAATGAAGACTTTGGATTGTTTTTTTGAAATACCTCTTTAAATCACTTAAAATAAAAAAGTGTCCTGTAAAATTACAGTTATTCGGATAGATGTGCATCAAAAGCGACGATTTAGAATAGCATATAAGACTCCATGATGGCCAAATTATTGCGCGATTCGAATCTTACGCTCTTAATGATTGAAGTTTCATACACTGTAGTGCAAATATTTTCTACCATGATTAATATCTATTTCATTTTCCTTCTCTATTTCAGCTCTAACTCAACATATCCATATAAAGAGGACCCTAAGCCTCCACCACCTCCGAATTACGAGGAGCGGGTGAATAAGTACTCTCGAGAGGCAAATGAAGGCCACAAAAGTAGACATCGCCGGGCCACGAGGAGGGACGAGAATCGGAATACGTGTTCCCTCTACATACAAACTGATCCCCTCATTTGGAGGCATATACGAGAAAGTTTTCCAGAGGTAAGATAAAAAATATAGGAACTATCAAAATGTCTATAACTCCCGAATGGTTATCTGGAGTTTAAAAATCTTGGCGATCATTAAAAATTATATTTAAAACTCAACTTTTGTAGAATATTCGAAAAACTACTTATCAAGGAATTCAATTTACTGGTTTTTATGATCTTTCGTACCATCTATTTACATATATAGAATTACCCAATTTTTGAGGGCTCCAGGTCAAGGGGGTAAAAAGTTGTTCCTCTTGACAAATCTTTTGACGTGTCTTGGCGTTTTCTCTTTCAATCAATGGTCTTTTATAAATCCGTGGTGGAAAGTTTTCAAATTGTATGTGGTTTTGTTCAGCCAGACAATGGAGTCCTACGCTACTGAGCAACAAATGAAAGTCTCTCCGAATTAAATCAGTGCTCGTCTTCCGTATATTTCGTCAGGTTGGGAATTAGTCGAAGGATTAGAGAAGAAACGGATATAAAATCTGCTCAACTACGTTAAGTAATCGGTACGAGATTTGAGTTTGGAAGTTCTAGACGTTTGAAGTAGGAACGGTGCTGAAAGTTTTGAGGGAACACCTGCTGATATGCCGCGCGTAGAAGCTTGTTACTATTCCGTTTGATGTACTTTGAAGAATGGATCAAGAAGAAAGTTTTAATCTGGTCTTTGGAGCATTTCGTTCTCTTTTTCGGATAATTGCGAGTCGTTCCACTGTGTTTTGTTGACTTGTAAATAAAAATATAAACATAGGATTATACAGTTTAGTTTGGTAAAAATTGAATCAAATAGATTACATTAGTACTTCCTAGGCAAAAAGCTATTTTTGTTTTCCCACGGGCACAAATACTAAACACCTTAACTTTTTCAAACTGCTGATAATAATCGGCGGACTGAAAACTAAAAACACTTTGAAATTTTTTTAATTCCAAGTAAACAAGGTCTGTAAATTAAGTAACAAGATTGGCAACGTAGCGTTCGATCTGGCAACACTGGCTGCGCCGGGCTTGGTGGGGAGACAGGGGCACATGTGATCCGCTTACAGTACAAGTTTGAACTCGCTCGAGTCATTTAGTTGTTTGTAGCGATTTTTTTGTGAAATAGTTTTTCCTATTGCGTTCTAAAAATGAGTGACATCAACTTCGAGCAACGGTATGCTATCAGGTTTTGCTTCAGACTTGGGCACAGGGCAATGAAAACTCTTGCTAAACAGGCCTACGAAGATAGTGTTTTGTCGAGAGCTCCGGTTTTTGGGTAGTTTAAGGCTAAGGGTGGTCCACGAAGCGGTCGGTTGGCAGTCAGTATGATCGGAGAAGAGTTAAATTTGACTCACATCACCGTTTATTAGATCAATAACAACTGGGTGTTGCATCACGATAATGCCCCTTGTCACGCAGCAATGTCAACAAATGACTTTGCGGCTAGTAAAAATGTTCCTGCGGCTCCTCAGCCTCCCGATTCGCCTGAGTTGAGTCCTTGTGACTTTTTTCTCTTCCAGAAGTTGAAAGATCACCTCGAGGTACCTCATTTTGGAACAGTTCTAAACATACAAACAGCTGTAACCGACCAGCTGAAGGCTCTTTCAGTATCGGAGAATCGTCTTCTGCGCTGTGTGGCGTCATTTCGAGGGTGACAATATGAAATTGTAATTATATTAAAAAAAAACGGTCTTATCACTTAATTTACAGACCTCGTATGTTGCCCTGCTATAGACTGAATAGTCCTATAACCCCTTGTATAACTGTTCAGAAAAGTTGAATTCAAAGGTTATAGGATTCAATATAATGTTCTTATGCATTTTTTATAGGCGTTATCGAATACTGCTACAGCTGCATTGACTCTCTTTGCAAATATAATCTGCAATAAAAATTGTTCACACAAAGTTCACAGGATATTCTGAAGTATTTTTCACGTATCCATTACGGTGACAGCAAATAACAGCTCGTTATCAAGTAATATTTCAAAATTTCCTATATCGACAAGTGACAAACAATTCGGACGGATCTGCGAACTCTAGATTAGTAGTGGTCTTATGTACGCTACACTTTCAGACTTCCTAACAACGCTTTTATTTAGAAAAGTTACTTTGCACAGAAGAAAAAACGCTACAAGCAAAATGGCTGCTAATGACCATGACTATGTTTCAAGTCAGGCAGAAATAAAACATTATACGATAGGCAGTTTTTGTGTTTTGACAGTTCTTAATATGGTCCTCAGTTTTACCCGACTTACACCAGGTTCATTATTGCCAACACTACAGACCTTACAAAGATTTCAGTTGCTAATTAGCTGTTTACCTCGGTGGATGTCAAAACGTATGAGAAAACTACTTTATATGACCTTTCATACTGATTGCAAAATAACCAATCATTAGAGTTTTCCAATCGTCGGTTATTTGATACGAGTTTCACAAGGTTGTGGTATCGACGATTACACGGATCAGACCGAAATTCTCACCGCAGCTCGTGCTCTTTGAATTCAAATAATTCTTCATCAAATTTGCCGCATTTTTTTATCGTAATTATTATTTTTTCTGTGATACTGAAAGTTAAGACGATTGCAATAGATTTAGTTCACTAGGCACAGTATTATATTTTTACTACTTACTTACTTTATTTAACTGCTCATAGGTGCTTTCATCGCAATAGCTTCAGATCACACAACGATTTAACCTGTATTTAAAATTTGACCGTTAATATATTGTTGTTTTTTACTTTATACGCCACTGGTGTATAAACGCGAAAAATTTCGAAAATGTGATCTTTTTTGGGTACTATGTGACATATATGTACGATACGAAAAACTTTGACACTCTTTTTGCTCGGTCTGTCGATCTGTCTCTCTGTCTGTTCGTTAATCCTTGGCACGTATATAATTTGGAAAGTATCGTTCAGATTTTGATAGAATTTTTACGTAAGCTTTTGGAAAATCGGCGGAACTAGGATCATATTTGGTACCGGTTTGCAACCTCGATAATCCTACGCACCTATTATACATATTTCACACATCATATATTTCCCCATACATATCGGTAGGGCAGGGAAGACATCTCTAGATCGCAATGTTGTCAAGTGGGTGGGGACTATGTACAAATTATATGAGCCTTTTGGCTGACTTGATCCATTTAATTTTTGCCAAACATGTTCGTAGCTAACCTTTTTGTCAAACATGTTCAAGGGTTTTGTAAAAGGGATTAATTTGTGTCAAACATTTTGATAATGGCGTTGCGTGGGGAGTGCAGATACAACCTAATTGACGCTATTTTTTAAGTATCTGTCAATTTTAATGAATGCAAGAGTTTGATGAGTGCAATTCGTCTATTTTTTAATTTTCCATGTTATACATTTGCAGCATGCAGACCCACGAAAAATAACTGAAGTGAACGAGAAGACCAGAGAGGAAATCCTATCACTCATTGCTCACCATGTCACTGCCGTTAACTACATTTATAGGGATACAAAGTTTGATGGTCGAAGTGAACATAGAAATATCAAATTTGAAGTTCAGAGGATAAAGGTAGGTATTATTTTGATCAACGATGCTACTACTAAGTTCCTCTTCAAGGGCGTGCTTTGAGAGCTTCATATAGATTTAGGTCAGAAGTTACTTTTAAAACATTGTTTAATCAATTATTTGATGTACGTGGTCTAGAATTGATTATTTATTGATTTTTTAATAGATTGATGATGACTCGTCGTGCAACTGCCACCACTCTAGATGTCCAGAAATGAACCAGTTTTGTCTAGAAAACATTGATGTTAGCAACTTTTTGAACATCCATTCCCTGGGTAACCATGAAGATTTCTGTTTGGCGTATGTATTTACATACAGGTAAGACTTTGATCAGTATATACTTCCGTCTTTTTGTACCTTTTTGTGGAACAGTTTTAAGAGTAAAATCTAACTAACAGTGTAGTCATATTTATAATAAAAATTGTTCTTTGCAGAGATTTTACTGGAGGAACCTTAGGCTTAGCCTGGGTAGCCAGTGCATCCGGAGCATCTGGTGGTATTTGTGAAAAATACAAGACTTACACAGAGACCATAGGAGGGATGTATCAGTCAACAAAACGATCCCTCAATACTGGAATCATCACTTTTGTCAACTACAACAGCCGAGTACCTCCTAAGGTGTCTCAACTGACTCTGGCTCATGAAATTGGACACAATTTTGGATCACCAGTAAGTATTTTGAGAGAGTAAACGGTTTGAGTCCACAATTTGTGGGGAATTCTTTGAAACTGGAGAGTGGAATAACTAAAAGAAAGTAGACCTGGGTCTCTTAGCTTTCTAGGTTCTCTATCTTTGACGTTTTCTTGATTAAAAAGTTCCTCCCCAAGTAATTCTCTTGATAAACCGCGGAAGACAAGTGCGAGAGGCTCGCCGTTGAAGTTATTTTTTTCTGTGAAATCGAACTCGCTTCTTCTCCGTTCCGTGGAGTCGATCTAACCAGTTAGTCTACAGCACCAGCTGCCAACCAACTTTCAGGATCGACTGTTGGAAGCAAATTCAATCGTACCACCCCACGGTTCCTTTTTCTTTCAAGCTGCTTGATGCCCGATTTGGCGGTGTCCAAGAGAAGCAAATCTGATTGGTAAGATATATCCAATCGCTTTCTAGTTGCACCATGCTGTCTCATAAGCACACACCACAGTACCACCGTGCGAGGACAGTAAGCTGTATACTATTTTTCGGATGAGTTCATCCTCAACACCAAGTATGTTTAGTAAACAACAACTTTAGAGATAAGTAAAATGCTGTTTACTAAACATACTCACTGTTGCGGATGCGCTCATCCGAAAAATCGTATGCCTATTCCTCGCACGGTGCACAGTGGAGCAGAATCCTAAAAAGCTGGTCAAAAATCAAATTTTTAGTTGTATATATTCGTCTATACACGGTTAGATCTTGTTTACGGATAGTCCTAGAATGAAATTCCGGACAATGCAGGTATATACTTGCTCTAGGGTCACCTTGACATCAGTCGACATTCAGCCGTCGTTCGGTACGCACTAAGCATGTGTACACGTCGAAAAATTCTGGCCTGTTTCGAAGTGCTGTAAAACAGACGAAACTATCTCAATTTGAATTGTGCAAAATGGAATCACTTTCTGAAGGTATGCAGAATATATATACTTATGCACAGTTGTTGCTTATTTTATGTTTGAAATATATAAATTTTCCAACAAATAAAGGTAAACAATTGTACATTTTTTTTTTTCTAAAATCGATTTTCTAGTAGTAGTTTTAAAAATGTCTTCGCGAGTCTCGATCTTATTTCTACAAGGAAGTGATAGTGTATAGTATGAAATATAATATAGCATAAATCTGGCTGCTCAGGAGTGCTCAACGAATAGTTAGACTAATTTTTAGGGAGAAATACATGGCTTGACATTAATGGATGTGTGACTGTAATGCATTGATTATTACCGATCGGACAACTTTCTGAAGAGGCCCAAGAGTCACCCAATAAGGACATAAAGAAATACAGATTAAATAATGCAAGAAAATGCTCTAGAGAATCGAATTTGAATTTGAGAGATATCTTCAATAGGCTCTTAGTAACATCAGGTCCATTTCTCTCAAGCATCAGGAAATTCCGATTTAAATACAAGTGAGTCAACATCAGAATCTGAATCGAATGATTCCAACATTGAACATGACGTACAAGATTTTTGTTACTAGAGGTAAATAACAGATATTCATTTTGTTGCAAATTTTTTATAAAAGAAATTTTCGATGAATAAAAAACATTGCTCGAAAGATTATTTACTCATTAAAACCTAAAAATATTATGAAATATTTTTTATTAAAAAATTTAAAAAAATTAAAAATGTTTGCGGAATCCCTCCAAATTAACATTTGGTAACCAATTCGTAATCAGCGATTCCAAAAACTATAAACAAATACAATTGGGTACTTTTACTGGATTATTTGACTAATTGGTTAAATTATGTCCGCCATTTTGAAAATCGTAATTCTGATAACAGATTCATATTCAGCGACCCCAAAAACCTCCGAGAAGAGAATTTGAGATCATTTACAACACTTTCTGAATTTTGGCCAGTTTTGTGTGATTCTGTCCCACTGTGCGGTGGTACCGCGGTATGTGACCACGAGACGGCGCAGTACAACTAAAAAGCAATTGCAGATACCTCACCAATCCGATTTGTTCGCTTGAACGCCACCAGATGGGACATCAAGCAGCTTGGTAGGATTGAATTTGTCTCTAACAACCGATCCTTGAAGTTGGTTGGCAGCTGGTACTGTAGAGTAATTGGTTAGGTCGGCTCCACGGAATGAAGGAGATGCGGGTTTGAGTCCGATCTCTCAAGTTTTATAACGTCAAAAGCTGTCAGCAAAAACCTTGAACTACGCTACTTTCTATTGAATATCCCATTTCCTCGTTTTCAAGAATTGGCCTACAGGTATTTTAGTGGGATTTGGACTCGAACTTTGATTCTCAGGATCCTACTGACTAGTGCTGGCGACTGGCTTCCCCCGAAATTATTTTTTGGATGCTTTCATTCCTATTTGAAACTCAATAGTCAACTTTTCTTTTAGCACGACTATCCCCCAGAATGTAGACCTGGTGGGCCGAGCGGAAACTACATAATGTTTGCTTCAGCTACAAGTGGAGATCGCCCGAATAACAGTAAATTTTCCAGTTGCAGTATAGGAAATATAAGTAATGTATTAGACGCCATAGAAGATAAGAAGAAAAGGTGTGTATATGCTATAAAAAATAGTGGGTTATACATGATGAAGTTTTATTTTCATAGACGTGAGGCTTCTTTATCTGCTTTTTTAGTTTTGGCACTTGTAAGTGACGTGTTGTCGAGTATGTTTTTGTTCTGCAATCCTCCAAAAACTTCGTGCAGATAGTATGAGATTGGTTTTATACGCACACCTATCTTGTAAAACCAATACTTTTCTTAAAAAAAAAACACAGTGTTGTCCGATTGCTAAATAAGCAGTCGAATTCTTCTACAAGTGATTTCAGATTATTGTAAAAAGTTGGTTGAATAAGTCCATGATTTTTTTTGTGACGGGCAACGCTAATGTGGGGCGCAAACCAGAGCGGTGTCGGCCGCAGTGGCGATAGCGATCGCGGTGGCGAGCAAATAATGTGCATGTAACAAAAAAAAAAAATACAAAAGTAGATTAATGTTGCATTGGGACTTTTCGAGCAAGTACTGACAAAACATTGGCAAAATCTAATTAAAAAAATGTTGAGAATTTTCAAAGCTTGTCCTAAAATCTGAACTGTTGCATCATACTAGTACATACAAGTCCATACTATCATCAGAAAATGGATATTACTTAGATTATAATGACTTTGTAAAACATGAAAAAGTGCAGCTTACCCGCTCCATAGCGAAAAAGTAACAACAAAAGCTGGTTCCTATTTGGCCGACGCGAAGATCGAAAGCTTCCATGTTACCAAAATAGTAAATGTCAATCAAGTTTATTAAGTTACGATAACATTTGTGTATTGCTGGAATTGTTGCGCTTGTAGAAAATTCTATCTCCAGTACGAGCCCAAACACCTTGCGGTTACTTGCTATATATATATATATATATATATATATATATATATTGGAGCAACAAAGTAGCAATACCCAAATAGCTCTTCTCGTAGAAAAAGGTGGCCTTTTTTCAGTCTGAGACTTCCTCGTCGCCTTGCATAATCGTCAATTTCAACGCCTGAATGTGTTTTTATAGACAAAATAACCAAAGTGGGTAAAGTGGATGAATGAGGAGGTCTCAAGTTAAGGAACCTCTTTAACTAATAGCTAATTTGAATGCTTCAATGCGTCATCCATAGACGAAACACCCAAAATGGATGCATTCCTTAAGTAAAGTAGATAAATAAGGAAGTCTTAAGTTGAGGAACCACATTAACTGACCCCTAATTTCTAGGAATTGTTTCTCCGCATCTGCGGGCGCATTCTGCGGCAACAAAATCGTTGAAGCAGGTGAAGAATGTGATTGTGGATACGACGATAAGGAATGCACAGATCAATGTTGTTACCCGAGGATAATCAGCAACAGAGATAGGGAATTGAACAAATCTGCAGCGGGATGTAGGAGACGTTACGGGACCGAATGCAGCCCTAGTCAAGGACCGTGTTGTAATAGTGAATGCAGGTGAGATATCCGAAATAATTTCTTTTGATACATTTCTCGTCATCAATAATAATAATGAGAATTTATTTTCACCTGGCGGGCAACCAGCAAATGGTGTTCTTCCATGTAAATCAGGACTGCACGTATACAGTGTTCAAAATTGTACATATTTTATCACAGTATTAAAAAAAATATCTAGTGAGATGACGTTAAACACATCGGAAGCTAGTTAATACATACATAGACAAAACATAAGAGTCACAAACAAAACAACTTGCAGCATATTTAAATTTATTTATAATCAAACAAAATTATATCCGACCATTAGATAATTGATTCCAGATTTGAATGGTCTGGGAGACTTGATTTTGTTAGTGCGCTGAACCCTGTTGAACAAATTAAATGCTAGATATGAAAAGGAGTTTTTAAAAGATGTAGTTTCGTGCTTGGGAACATCCAAAGTGTGACCCACAACTCTGAAATTATCATGAATGCCAGTTTGTCAAAGTAAACTTGCTAGCATGCAAATGAACTGATTGCTTTCTTAGTAGCACCGAATAAACCAAACAGATCAGGCCTTTCTTTCATCCTAAAGGAAATGAATAGTTTTAATATAAGATGTTCTTTCAAATCGACGTATACGAGGTTTATCCAGAAAATACGTATAAAAAGTTCGGGGCGTCGGGTCAAGGCGTTGTGGAGAGGTAGCTCAGTGGTTCCCTATCTCTATGTAATTCGTCTACGCTCAGTTAGAACCGGAGTGCTCTGCGAGTAAGTAGGATTTACGTGTGCTTGTTGAAAGTAACCCTTTTTTACCTGCCGTCGGCATGGATCTCTCTGATCATGGAACAGCGCATCGACATCAAGTTTCTTGCAAGGCTGGGCAAGAATGGTCGTGATATTTTTTTTATTCTTTGGGACAAGTTTACGGAGACAATTGTCTGAAAAAACCAACCGTCAACAAGTGGTTGAAAAGGTTTCGGGAAGGCCGAGAAGATGTGAAAGATCCAACGCTCAGGACGCCCCTCCACATCAAGCTCTAAAGGAAATGTTGACCAAATTCAGGGCTGTGTTCATAAAGACCGTCTATTGACACTTAGAGTGATATTGATTGTGCTCGAAAATCGTTTCGAGGCTCTTGACTCCATAACAGAAAGCAAGGATGGTTGCTTGTTGTGAGGATTGGTTGGAAGCAGAGGAAAAGGGGGCTTTCTCAACAGGGTCATCACTGGAGACAAGTATTGGTTCTACGAATTCGATGTGGAGCTTAAATCTCAAAGCATGTAGTGCAAGCAAGCAGGGAAACCGAGAACAGAAAAGTCGAAAAAACCAAGGTCCAATGCGAAAACAATGTTGATTGTTTTCTTTGATTTTTGGGGCATTGTTCACCAGGAATTTGTCTCTCCCGGCCAGATAGTGAACGGAAGTTTCTACATTGAAGTTTTGCGTCGTCTCAAAGCCCGCGTGGCCCGAGTTTGACCGGATTTGGCACAAGAAGGCAGGTGGATCCTTCATCACGACAACGCGCCTACGGGGGCGGAACTTTGAGGATGTCGAAGCCATCAAAACAGAAATGACACGGCAAATGCAGAGCCTGACAATTGAAGACTTTCAGCGATCGTATCAACAGTGGAAACGGCGTTGGCAGAAATGCATCTTATCTCAGGTGGAGTATTTTGAAGGGAAACATATTATAAAACCTGAACAATTGTAAAATAAATTTATTATTCCACTATTATACGTATTTTCCGGACAAACTTGACCTTTTGTATCCGTTGGGCTACCGTTTGAGTCAAACAAAAACCATACACAGAGTCAGCATTTCAACCTTGCCTACTATAAGGGACTTAAATAGTTTAATCTTGGTATCCTTTGACAACACACTTCTGAAATTATAGAAAGTTTTCAATCTAGCTAATGATGCTAGAACAGTCTTATTTACACGTTCATGGAATGTAAGGTGCTTGTCAAATTAAACTCCAGGATTTCGAACGCATTTCTTATCAACCATGTTCTCCCCAGTTAGGTATAGCGTCATTACTAAAGTTACTATACTTTGGCGAGAATGTTTCATATTAGGCTCCCCATTCGTGATGGCTCTATCATGCCTAATTGTCGGAATAATAAGCAAACACTAAACATGATGCTAGGTACGAGTATTTGACCGAATAATTCATCAGTCCAAAATTGATCGCGATGCCCCATATGAGGAGCAGTGATATGTACAGGGTGGCCAATACAACTTCATACATCCCCTCATCTCATAAACCACTAGCATGCAGACAAATCTTGGGTACAAATGTCACTTGGTCAGGATAAAAGTTTTATTCTGTAATACATACGAGGTGTCCAGTTTTCACTGAATCAACTCCATTGTTTCAAATATCAAGTTCTATATTTTATTACATTTCCGGGTTCTACACCTGATTTCGAATATGTTTTGTTATTAGATGTATAAATATATTCTGCTCCGTTTTTGAGATATTTTGATTTTTTTTACTATTTGACATAGGTAATTTAAATCTATAGAAAATGACGTAAAAATGTATAGGGATTCCATTTAAAATAATTGAGTTTTTTCACATTCAATTTGTCAAAGTTTCGATGTGCTTACGGGGTATTTGTATATTCGTTAGGTGAAATTTGAACAAATTAAGTGGACTAGGCGATTGTTGACATAAATGTTCCCTTTCATAGCAATGTGCTGTTTTGGGGATAACTGAATAAAAATAAAGTAAGCTCAATATATCTCTAAAAATACTCCAAATGACGTGTAGAACCCGAAAGTGTAATAAAATATAGGGGTTGCTATTTAAAAAAAATTAGTTGCTCCTCGCCAACCTAAAATGGTGCATATTTTTATTTCCTACGCTACTGGGAGGAAGTATTATAATTGCGAAAAAAACTGAAAATTTTATGTTTCTTGGTTGTTATACGACATGCACAACAGCCATTTCCGTCGGTCTGTCCACTTAACATTGGCCCGTCTATAACTTGGAAAGCAGAGCTCAGATTTGGCTGAAATTTTCCGAAAAGGTCACTACTATACCAATGAAATCTTATCATAGAGATATGACCTGTTGACAACAGTGGGCCCTACCGCGTCTGATGGATCGTATTATCGGATATGTGAAGGGGCAACATTGACAGATGGACGGTAACTACCGGTAGGGTAGAGAGAGGATGTCTATAGACTAATTGTATGACCCTGTTTGACTGACTTCATCCGTTAAGTTTCACTGTTGTACATTTTAGTAGCTAATTCATTTCTCGGGAGGTTTAACTTGTGCTGAACTTGATCCTTTGTGAACCGATGACGGCGTTGCGTAGAAAGTGCAGAGTTAACCTCCGGCTTATGAGATGGAGTTTTGCTAAATCTTGTCTAATATAAATTTTTTACAGATTTATATCGTCGTTCCAAAGAGAAATCTGCAAAATGGAGTCAGACTGCTCGACGTCCTCTAAATGCAATGGTACAAGTGCAGAATGTCCCGTTCCAACTCCAAGGCCAGATAAAACTAGATGTAACAACGGCACTCAATTGTGCATTAAAGGAGAATGTTCTGGATCTATTTGCTTAGAGTGGAACCTACAGGTTTGTATTTTTAGACACCGACTCACGTAAATTGTTGGTTGGTCATTTTGGGCTGCAACCCAGAATTTACGTGTATTCAGCTCTTGATGTATAAAAGATCTTTGGAATAAGTTACTTTGATGATTGTAATATTCGTATAGGTTCTGTCTTTTGTAGACAAGAAGCTGGAGGGAATTTGGTTTGCAAAATGTAAAGACCACAGTTTGAACAAAGATATCAACTGAGAAGATGGTAAAGAATAATTATCCGGATGTTGCTGAAACACTTTTTGGTCCATTTTTTAATCCCCTTCCTTCTTAAGTAATTACAAAAAAATTCTATAATCATTCTGAACGCGAAAGGTCGTCAGTAACGTTTCTCTAAAGTTAGTTATTTTCGTGCTATAAGCCATTTAATGTCTGCATAAATCAAAAAATTGTCATGTTCAATAATTAATTAATAACTTGGTTAAAAATCATTATTTTTGATGTTGTCAAGTATCTAGATTAAAACTAAAACCTTCCCCTACAAGATCCTGAAGTGTATATCAAGATTAATTTAGCTTAAAGTATTTTTGAAGCTAATTTGTTAGGCCGAAAAAAAACAATGTTTTATTTATAGCAACGTGTATCGGCAGGGCCGATCCAAAACTCATGGATATGTAGTGATATGTGGTCATTCCCTACCAAAAAACCCATACAATGGCTTTATCCTGTTACGCACGGTTTTTGAGTTATCTCCATTCTGAAGAATTTGTAGAAAATTGCTACTTTTTGTGCAGGCGCTGGATGGAAATGAGTTTGCAAAATGTGAGGACCGCACTTTATGAACAGATATAAAATAAGAAAGAAGAGATTACTTATTCTTATTGGTGGGATTAAAACTTTGTCGCAATTTAAGGGTTCTTCAATTTGCGTTTCAGGAGTTTCTTAGGATGTCTAAGGTTTTTTTATTTTTGAATGCTTTACTAGTTTTTGTTTGTTTTCCAGGCATGTTCAATAACGACCCAAGATCACCCGAACATCGACAAACGGAAACTTTGTGAGTTGGCTTGTCAAAACGGCACGGATATTTGTAGGAGTACCAGCGAATTTGCGGACAAAGTCGGTTTACCTCCAGGAGGAATCAGTTTGCGGCCTGGATCACCTTGCGATAATTTCCAGGTAAGAAAAAATTGTAAAAATCTCCTGACAAACAGGAAAATCAGAATAGAAAAATATGTAACAAACTTTGCCTCCTTCCAGTCTAGAAACAATTCTGGAATTAGGACCAATCGGCCCATGCGTATAAAAGCGTACCAAATGATAACCGGATGGTTCTGGTACGATACCAAGACTCAAGTTGGAACAAATCTTTTATAAGGAAAAATCATTCAAAAAAATCTGTCTTCTTAATTTCAGGGATATTGCGACGTATTTCTAAAATGCCGCGCCGTAGACGCAGACGGCCCCTTGGTACGACTGATGAACCTGCTCCTAAACAGGCAGACCTTGATAACAGTAGCACAGTGGATCACCGAATTCTGGTGGGCAGTTCTACTGATGGGCATCGCTTTCATCATTTTCATGGGACTGTTTATTAAGTGCTGTGCAGTGCACACGCCTTCTTCAAATCCAAAGAAGCCTCCTGCGCGAAGAATCAGCGAAACGCTCAGAAGGCCGATGAACACGCTCAGGAGAATGGTTAGTAACACAAAAAATTGTAACTCTACGCTAACAGATAAGCAGTTATTCCTTTATTTACTGGATAAATACAACAAATAAATTGTTAACACTTTTGTCTATTACACAGACCGACAAGATTTTTAACCAGATACCATAGAACATTTTTCCGAAGGTTTTTAATGCGCCAAATCCGAATCTGAATCTACATCTGTCAATTGAGTCTAGTTTGCGGGATTTTCTAACCTAGAAGTGCAAAAATATTGGTTTTTCCCTATATTTGAGTTTATGGAGCATGGCGAATTTTTTTCCAATAAAATGTAGGCATCATCTCAGAGTACAGCCCTTTCAAATGCCGTTAAATTAGCTTAAATATCTCTTTTTGTTTCCGCTGAGACAAGGCACTTTGAAATTTGAAATTTTTTATAGTCAATTCACTTAAACAAAGCAGTTCCTCATATTTAGTAAATTTGAATGCCAACGTTAATGCAAAATAGATCCTAAATTGGTACGTATAGTTTGAATTTCCCGGGTACCTTTATGTTGGTCACAGTTTCCTATGTTGTGACATTGTCGCAATGATTGTCATGTAATTACGCCTACGGTTGTTGTTTATTTGTGGTTTATTTCCTAGAATCTAGTAGTTTTAAGTAATGTGGCAACCATGTGCGTCACTGTCATTATTTGACGTTGTGACGTAACTGCTTTGATTCAGTGAATATACTGTATGTATACCTTACACCGCCTGAGGCTGACCGAAAACTTGCCGCTTTGCTCTATTTTAGTAATTAGTATAGAAAATTAATAAACATCAAATGGAACATCTCTAAAATGTTTAATTAAAAATGTTCATTGTGTATTTTTTTATAGCAAAATCTTTTATATAATCGTTAATATAAACATGTATGGCATGTTCAATTGTCAAATATCAAAATATGATAATTTTTAATGAACTTTAGATAAATTTTTCTCGCAATTGGCCTTACTAATCAAGATGTCTTTACAAGTAAAGAGTTTTCCCAATAAGACGCGCGCATTAAAGGAATGGCTGAATGCTGTTTTTGCACTTTTTACCTCACTGTCTCAGAAAGAGGGTTATGCTTTTCTCGCGTATATATGTGGACAAAAAATTCTATTCCACAAGCTAAACAGCTAGATGGATTTTGACATATGATGTTTGTCAAGATATATCTTGACAGTGGGAGTGACACTTGACTTACTAAAATTTAATAAAATGAGAATGAAGGTTTAATTGAAAATTTTAGCTTTAATAATAATAATAATGTCTTTATTTCCACAAAAGAAAATAAAAAACAAGTTGCAAAACCAGTTATATGTGAACATATAGTGGGAGGGGCGAAGTTCGACATATCCGCTCTTCCACTTAACCTCTTGTTTTAGGTTTACATCATAATAAGATAAGCATATTTATATATATAAATGAGGTAAAATATATATGAATGTATAAGCAGTATCAGAGAATGGACCCTAGCGGCTAATTTGATAAATGGTACTATAAAAATTCATAATGACTCCAAAGTCATACCATGCAATTACCTGCAATGTAATAGCGTATACGTTTTTTAAACACATCAATAGAAAGAGAAGTATACTCTTGCGGGATATTATTATAAAGTTTACTGATATTATACGAAAAAGATCTTTCGAATAAGGTGGTTTTGTTTTGTTGCGGGTATTGCGATTGTGAGCTAAGTAACGGAAATGATTTTTTTCGTGAAAGTAGGATGGTAGTTTATGTATAATAATCTTATGGTACTGTACGAGGCTATGAAGCAGCCTGCATTGCTTCATGTTCAGCCAGCCAGCATCAGTAAGCTTTGATGACACTGAATCGTAGTTTCTTAAACCACTAAAATAAGTCTCAGACAAGAATTTTGCACGCGTTGTATTTTATCAGAGGTGAATTTAGTTAGATATTTGTCATAGACGACATCACAGAAGTAAAAATGACTTTAGTTTTTTGGTTCATGTAAGATTTTTGACCGTATATCGTCTTTAAATTACAATAAGCCCAATTTGTCAAATATTCTTTTCAAGGGCTATAGTTTAACGGCTACATACATTTCTAGAATGACACTGATAAACGCAAAGTTCGACTTTGAAATCTATTTCTCACGGGCTTGATGGATTTTGTCATTTAAAGTGTCCTAATAGCATCTTCCATTCTTTTCAGTGGCTGCAGTCGTTGTTTATATTTTTAGAGTGTGTAATCATTGCGTTTTTATTGTAATATTTTAATTCCAAATTGTTTTTAAATGCAAAATTACTTTTCAAGCCAAGTATAAAGTATTTGCTTAGCCAAATATACTTTATTTAACTATTCAAAATAAGCTTTTAAGAGGAAGTCGCAAAAAATTCGAGGGAGTTAAATATTTTGCACGTTCTGTTTCTTGCCATTTCGACAGATGCGCAAACTATACTGCCGTATGATTCTACGACGCAAGCTCGTAATAATTTCTTTTCTCAACAGGAAGGAATGATTTCAGCGGAGGCGGATTATCCGTATGCCGCCCGCAGGGTTAATACGTAAACAACCTGTACACTAAAACAAAAAAGAGGATGAAATGTCAACTTCTTACATCTAGAACAGGCCGTTACGACCGCTCCTTAATCCCGATGGCGTCGAAATTGTGGAACAATCTACAAGAGGAGGCTTTTCCAAGTTCTACTAACCTTAGACAGTTCAAAAATCGGATTAACAAAATTTCTTTGGGATCCTCATAGCATCCGGGATATCCTAGCATTTAGGCTTCTGCCTGCGCGGCTTGTTGACCAAGTAGGCTAGTGTGCAAATAATTAACGTCTTGTAGGAAAACCTAAATAATGATATAAAAAACCTACATAATGTCACTTTTCAAGTCACGTGATAGCCCTGCCGAGGCCATCTCTGCAATCACTACGCTACGCCATTGGGCGGAAAACCCCGCACCAGCCTTCCTTTGTTTAGGAACAAAACTAGCCTGCCTTTCTTACTGACATATTGTTTGCTACATACCTTTGCATCTTCCTCGGCGAGCATTTAAAAAAAAATCCGTATTTTCACAGAGGCATCCTCACGGACAGGCCCCACATGCTCCAGGCACGGCCCATGGTCCTTCTGGTAGAAGCAGACGCGACCCCACAGGTCGACCGTCTGCTAGTCAAGGGCCCCGCGCTGGTTACGGTGAGGGCCGGGGTCATTACCATGCCCCCAAAGGTAAGAAAGGTATTGGATGTCGTTCTTTTTTTTTAGTTTTCATTTTTATTATTTCGAGCTTATTATGCTGCTTCGCTCACAATTCGTTTTTAATCAGGAGCTTACGATTGTATACAGGGTGTTTCAAATATGACGCTTAATTTTGGGATCTCGGAAAAATTGCGTATTTAGGTAACTAACAAAATGCCGCCAAGAAATTTTCGAAATTTAAAGCTCTTCCGGTGAGAGACGAAAAAACAGAATTTAGAAAAAAATCATTTGAAATTTTTCCTGACTTTATTTGTAGTGGGATTTCAAAATAAGTAGCACAATAACATTGAAACTTTTTCTCCTTTACAAGATGAACTAATTAGAATTTCAATATCACGTTTCGTGTCATGTCTTCCAGGATCAACTTATTTTTTCTTATAGATGCAATAATAAATTTTTACACAGTGCATACTGTTTATAATCCTATTTGCAAAACCTTACTTATTTCAGAAAAAAAGAATTTCCTAGGTAGGCCTTGAAATTATAAAATAATCAATTGTTTCATTTACCAGACCTCAAATTGAACATAGTAACAGAGTTTATAAGACTGAGAAGACGTGAAATAACCGAGCAGTGAACAATGAACAAAATAATGGACAAGGTTTTGAACATCTACTATGATTTACCTGTACTTATTTATGATTATTATTGTTATTACCATCAACAAAATGTTCATTTCCTGTTCAGGTTTCACCATACCATTTTATGTTCTCATAATTTTCATTCCAACAACAAAATCATAGTCAACTTACGAAATATATCACTAAGACTAAACATTCCATTTAAATGTACAAAATAGCAATATAGCGTCGATATGGAAAAACAAAGTTGGTGATGGAAATGATGCCATCGTGTAGAGGAAAAAAGGTGACAATGACATGTAATTTACTTTAAAATCCCATCTCAAGTAAAGTCAGGAAAAATAAAAAATGATTTTCCGGCGAATCTGGTATACGAAACAAATAACTACCTGTTGATTTCAAGGCCTACCTAGGGAATTCTGTTTTTTCATTTTGAAATCCTGCTACAAGGTCAGGAAAAAATTAAAACGATTTTGAGAAAATTCGTTTTTTCCGTCCCTCTCCGGAAGTACTTCGAATTTCGAAACTTTCTAAGCGGCATTTTTTTAGCTACCTAAATACGCACTTTGCCCCCCCCTAAGCAATTTCATATCTATTACTGTCTCCGAGAGCTCAATGGTGAGGGTCGAATTTAAAACATCCGGTATAGCGGACCAAGCATTAAGTTATAGATAAAGAAGGAAACTGTTTTCTAGTGAATTTCTCCCACAAATGTTCCAAAAGAGCTCACAGTCAAATAATTTCGATGAGCAAACCAATTTTATGGCCTGTTTATTGCAAGTTTCAAACTCTTCGTACAATTGCCCTAAGAATAATGTTTGAAAGTTGCAGAATGACGTTGTGCTACCATTGATTTGATAGCCTGTCACCATGATAGTATGTCACAAATATGGCAGTTTTCAACTATGATCTGTAAGCTGCCGTTGTTAACAGTAAAACTATTATTTAATACTTGGTACGTAATACGAATAGCTTCCTTTAACATTTCTTCATTCATACAATTTTCGATGATAAACAATTGAAGACACAAGTGAATAAAGGTGTCATGTAATAAAATCGTTGTAAAGAGAAAATTGACTTTAAACATTTTTTATTGGGACTTTTTACTTTATTGAAATTTTAAATATTTAGTTTAATTGGTTTATTATCTTGTTTTTGCAACAAAGTAATCACGAAATGAAAGAATCACTCCTTATGGTCAGTTTAATGCAATCAAGCAATTTAATAAAAAAATATTACATGACACCTTTATGCGTCGTCAATTCCTTACCTACTAAACCATTGTTTTGATGAATTTATTGAATTATGTTAATATTGTATGCAAGAAGAAATTTTGTATAAGGCTGGACACACTCGTTATCAAATCGTCATTTTTTTTTCAATAAATTGTATTTTTTTATATTCACGCATTTCTCATGCAGAGCCTTGTGCCCAGTTACTGTTGTGTGTGTGATCAATATAAATTTTCATTTGTCTCACGTTAAACGTTTTAGCATTTTATTTTTCATTTGTTCGATGATTTATTCCCGTTTGGTGTTTCGTTCGTACATTATTGGGTGTCTTAGATCGTGGAGTCCATTGTCAGTTCAAATCAACGAATTATGACTAGTTAGAAGGTGCCAGTCAAGGAGTTGTCTTCTAATGCTCGTAGTCAGTACCGAGAATCAAAGTGCACTTGATATAAGTCAATTTTTTGACGGTTCTATCGTTAAATGTTTATATCAATTACATAATCTGCAAAGAACGGCACAAGCCGGATGAAGATAGATCTTTCCACCAGTAAGTCATAACTTTAGAAAGGGATTTAAGAACGGGCTTCTCCAGTTACAAACTACTAAAGCTACATATTATTAACCAGCAATTTACTGTTGTATTGCATTTACATTGGTACCTCAATTTTATAACATTGCTACAGTTTATGTAAAATTAGAGATAAAAGATGAAGCGCATGACTCCATTATAAAATGATTTTAACTTGCCGATACTCTGTAGGCGACGGTGAAAATGGCAGTGCTAGTCCTCAGACTTTTCGAGTGTTTTTAATATTTATCTTTATTTTGTATAAATGCTCTAATAAACATTATTATTATTAAGTTGATACATAGCTGTGACTTTGATAGGCATTGGTAGACAAATGAGTCAAAAGTATGCACTGCAACTACGCAATTTTGGCGACAAATAATGCAGTGTAAACATGGCTTGGATCCTTCCAATCTAATCGAAGGAATACAATAGATTCTTTACCTGTCGTTATCGGGGCAGTAAGGAATGTATTGTTTTTCTTAATATTTATTGCGTGGCATTGACAAATGTAGACGATGCCTCATAAGCTATTTATTTCCATTTCTTGAAAAAGTTTTTAAACAGTATTCACATTATTTTAATGCAATACGCGAAAAATATATACATTGCATTGTTTGTAGCCAAAATTGCGTAGTTTTGGTGCATATTTTTTACTTAGTTGGCTACCATTGTCTACCAAAGTGGCAATGTTGTATCAGCATAATAACAATACTTACTGGTGGAAAGATCTACATTGACTACGCTTGTGGCTCTTTTTACAAATTATGCAAGATTTATCATGTCCTGAAATTGTCAAACATCTAATTATCTGCAAACACACATTCAAAAAAGAACACTAAAATACGAATTCAAATTTCTTCCCAAAAGTACATATTAAAATCAAAGTTAACATCGTACAAGCAGGTCCTCAACAGATACTTGACAGTGATTGTCTTAAAAGCTAGCAAATTTTCTGAACTTTTAATATTGTCTGGTAGCATGTTACATGCTTTTATTGCCATGTATAATGGCTCCGTCTTGAAATAAGTGGAAACATGGGGGTTTTTCAACTAAACCCACAAAAATTACACTCATACAAAACAATACACAATACGAAATTGTAGTATGCACTTTCATCCTGACAGATTTGCAGACAAACAAATCGTGGGCTTGCTCCAACTACCTGTAGTGAATTAATTGGTTTTGATATACCAAGATATTTCAGACCAAGGGATTTCATGTGTGTCTTTCTCTCTTTCTGAACTCCATTTTGTTTACGTCACAGCAGCAATGTGTTTGTTGTCTTCTAAATAACAGCATCAAGCGACTACATAAATATATCGTATGTGTACATGATTAATAATTAATCGGAAAAATGTATAAGCTATCAACTTTATCAGGATATACAGGGTGACTTCGAAGTTGAGTCATTTATTTTAACAGTGAGTAGATCTGATCAAAAGAAATGTTTTTTTCCTTTACCATTTTTCTGGTAAAATTAAAGTAACAAAGTTATAGCCCTTTGGAAGTTTGAGTACCGCCCTGTCTCAATAATAATATTATGTACTCGTGTTTGGCGACAACGGATATACTCCGCCGTATCGGTTCATCGCATCGGAAACAAAAAAGCGAAAGAATTTGGAACGATGTTTTTACAATTATTTCATTCATTTGTATACAGTCAGTGTCAGTGAATAGTGGTATCTGTTGCGTGGCTCAAACGAAATAAAAAATGGCACATGTTTATGCGGATCGGTTTCCCAATCGAGTGCAACCAACCCCTCGTGCCTTTGTTAATGTAGTACAACGGGCTCGTGAATCAGGTGACTTAAGACCTCACAGGGGACCTCACGATCAAATACAGGTCTGCACTGAAATACTTGTCGGGAGGATACTTTATAAAACAAGGTAAACATTTTTTTTTAATTTTTTTTTTATTTTTACACACATATTTTGGTTTATCTTCCTTCTACAATCATTATCTGAAAATTAATGACTCGACTTCAAAGTCACCCTGTATATTTTATGGAAGAAAATAATTCTTGTTATTAAAAAATCGGATAAAAGGTGTATTTAAGCTTCTCGTAGCAGCTGCGGTGCCCCGGTATTTAGAAGTCTGCTTCGGTGTAAAAAAATTCAGTCTTTGAATGTTATTTCTTACAGCTGTCAGCGGTCAGTATGGTTTATTCTGCTATTCCAATTTTCGATGTAGCATCCAAGCTCGGAAACCACAGTGATGACCAACATTTAAAAAAAAAAAGATATTTAGAAAATACTAGATACCGGTTAACCCGACACATTTATGCTTTTAGGCTTTTAATAAAAGTTTATCGCGTTATTTTTAGTTTAAAGAGCGAGAAGAAGAATCAGTCCCTTAAAATTTAGAAATGTTTTTGTTCTTATGTCAAAGTTCTAGCGCGTAAAGGCTACGTTGAAAATATTGGAAAAAGCGTTTTAAAAGTTTTTTTTTGAAGAATCAATGAAAATATTTCTGTGTTAGACGAAGAAGGGAGAACGCATGAGATGTCAGAACCGAATTAAATAATGCATAGCCGTGACACCATAATATCTAATCAGAGTTACCAGGTGCAGACGATTTGTTTTCGATAGATTCAACAGTCAAGAAATCAGAAATCAACAGTCTCAATCTCACTTCTGGTCTAATTAAATTCTCGATTTTAAGCAATCTAGGTATCCATAACATTAGCCCATAAACAGATAAAAAATTCATAACATATGATATGAATCAATCAGTCTTCTTTTCGTTTACGTACAAATTTTTGTCTTGTTGGAAACCACAAATCCGAAACTAATTGTATTAAACTACATACACATACGATATATCCACCGCCTGCATAACCGCCTCGTCACACGAATCACACACACACGACCAACAACAATTAACTCTCCGTCTCTCTCTTTCTCTCATAATCACAACGTAGCCTATTCCCCACTAGCGACTGCGCCGCCCGTAGGGTACGCCTCTCCGCACCAGCCGCATCCCGAACTGTACGCGGGCGCGTACGAGATGCGCAACAAGGTGTGACAGCAGGCTCCGGCGGAGGGCGGGGCGTCAGCAGCCACCGTGTCGGGCCCCGCCCCCGCGATGTCGCCATTGGTCGGCCAGCAGCGCAGTTCCCCGCCTCCTGAGTACCCGGGCACGCCATCGGCGGTGAATGTGACAGTGCCGGCAGAAGGGGATAAGCAAGTCAGCAACTCAACCGGCTCAACTTAAGACGATGACTGTGTTTTTATTGACTTTTTTATAATATGTAGCGGCTTGGGATTGGGAATGGATTGAGTGGCGTGTAGGTGAAAGTATTGAAGTCTCTTATTAGTACTTTATAACCCTAAGAGCTTATATAATTATCTTTCCAAGTGGCAGACTGGCAGGTTGCATAAGTTGAGCTTGTACGTTGTGTCGTTTATAACTCAACAACCATCAGTCATCAAAACACCATAGTATGCTACATCAGTTTATCTTGGAAGGATCCATCCAAATATGGAACATTTTAGAAAAACTTTCAAAATCTGTCATATGATTGAGACCAAATTTCCCATATTTTAACATTCCATAGCGTTTTAATGATTATAAAATACTGATTGGACAAAAACGCGCAACTTTGACAGCCTGCCCAGAAGATGTTTCAGGATGACTCCCAGCCGCCATCTTAAAAGGATCACTTGTTATTTTTATATTAAAGTATAGTATTCAGGTATTCATTTCATCACCTCAAATTTCAATTTGCTAATTTGACCCGTTCAAAAAATAAAGAGAAATGGGAGCTTTCTGAAAAGGACTGTATCCAAATTGTCATTTTGAACCAATAAAGATACACGTTGATTGATATTTATGCAGTAATAACTTAAAGCCCTCCGGCTCCCTGTTACGTGAAAAATTGCAGTTGTTTAACAACCCTGTACGAAAAATTCGTGCTAAATATCAGCAATGGACCAGTATAACTTTCTTCCATGTGTTTCATGTAATATGTAAACTCGAGGAATGCTCAGCATACATTTTTGTATTGATAATTTTGTTATTTGTTCTCTTTCCCAATCTGATAATCTCTCATCATATCTCTCCGTATATACTAATTCGATGATCTAGCAACATAACGTAAAAAATACGTATACCTTCTATTTCTAATTAGACAACGTTTTTCGGAATACATTTTGGTTTCTTTCAGAATTTCGGAGTTTCAGCCTCATATTTAAAGGAATGTCATATGGTGCCTAAACAAAACCGGCACCTTGCTTAGCCGAGAGAATTTACACAGTTTTATATTTCCAACGTGTAGAATTAAAATAGTGCTAAGAAAGTTGTTTATCTCTTGAATAGCTTGAATTACGTTAATTTTCACTTTTTCATCAGGAAGACCGTGTAATATTCAGTATTTTATTTTTTAACTCATTTGAAAAGAAATATAAAACTGACTACCAGAACTTTAAAAACAAGTTTTAAATGTTTGTGGCTACTATCTACGAGTTTGAAAAAATCATATACATTTGTCACTCATATCGATATCTTACCGCAAAGCCAGATAAAATAAATGACGCAGCGCTTCTGGATCTGTGCTGTAATTTTTTGGACCTATAACCCTTCATTTAGAATCGTAACAAATTCATCACCGTAAAAAATTTAAAACCGAAGGTGGGTGCCCTTCAGTTCCAAAGCATCCAAATTCCCAAACTTGGAACATGCGAATTACCTACTGCGTTTCAAATTTCGGGATGAATAGGGGGGGGGGGGGTTAGGTAAAGGGCAGGCCCTTGAGTCCCCCTTATATACGCCTCTGTGTTAAATTTTAAAAATGAATTTCAGTGAACGTTGCAACTCGATTACTTACCACGGTGGCGACGAATTGGAAGCTTACGTCTGGAACGTGTTGCCATTGTAGTTGGTCAGTAATCCAGTTGCGATTACTGGCATCTAGTAAGAGACCTTTGAGTATAACATGATCAGTTACTTTCAGAGCTGCCGATTGAAGTATGTCAGTGCAATTTTTTACATCTTGTATTTTCACTTACACACACGAACAATTCCTTCACGAACCAAAGCCAGGTGTTCGGCCAATGTGCTCTGTGATTGAATAAAAAAAATGTTGCACGGGAACTTTTTCGCAAGTACGTGTAAATAAACTGAATGGAAACGGGTGCATTTTGACGTAGTCACCTATTGCGTTTAGGATCTTAAAACGTGGACTTCGGACGTTTGTGCAAATGATGGACACAGTGACAGGCGATGTGCCGGATTTGACATTGTAGCTATTTTTGAGTATGTGTTATTTCGTCTTCTTAATTCCTAAAAGTAGAGCTCTCATTTTTCAGATTCGTACGGAACAAACTGCAGATCTATTTCCGATTGGGGATTTGACACAGCTATAATATAATTATTTTTTGTTATTGATGTTATTCCTAAATTTATTCGAATAAAAAATCTAGTACGTTTGCCAAATGCTCAAGGAGTGGTTAATAGTGCTATATCACTAATAATTTAGTGCCATAACAGTGAAGAAACAAGTCAATAGTCGCCACTTCAATGCAAACGACTTAATGATATTTATGTCCAAAATTATTCAAGAATTTAGAGGTACAACATTTTGTGAGAAAATAAGTTAATCAACATAAATAACACGCCAGATTGACACGGGACTTAGATTGGCTTCAGACAATCAGATAAAATCAACATGACATTAGTAAAAGTTTTCTAGTTTTCGAGATATTGCCACTTTTAGGTTTCTTTTCAAAAAATCACTAATTCTTGCTCCTTTTTTGTCTGTTATGGCTATTAAGAACTTCTAACTTGTGAGTTTTTTTCTCGCCTACCATTAATAGTTGGTTGAGACAACCAAGTATTCATTTTATTGAAAACTACCCCGGCATGCTGAAAAAAATGTAATACATTTTGTCTCATTGTGAAAACCTTTACTGTGAAAAAAAAATGTACTAGACTGAATCGGCAAATGATCTTAAAAACTATCCTATTTAGTGTTCTTTTAACAATAGCATAACATTTGTAGGTTCTTTCTACTAAAATTGAATAAGTCCAAGTTTTGTCATTGAAGTCGTAAGAGTCTGTTGTATCCAAATCACTAAGGAATGAAATGACTAAACAGCGAAAGAGCTAAATAACACGTGTGTAGCACCAACACAAGGAGCGGTACTAAATTAACCCCGCGTGCCCGGTGCGCATGAACCAGCCCCGTTCTCGAGGTCACATAATGCTACCGACCGAACAATGAATGTGAAAGCGAGATAACCAATGACATGTTTAGGTCGTTTCATTACAGTGATTTGGATACAAAAGACGGCTCCACTTATTTTTTATTTGTAGTATCTCGCAAGTATTTCGACTTCAATGACAAAAGGATTTGTTCAATTTTTAGTAGAAAGAACCTACAAATGTTATACTATTTTTAAAAGAGCATTAAATAGGCTAGTTTTTATGATCATTTGCCAAACCAGACTGGTACATTTTTTTCACAGTAATTAGTCAAACTTTAGTAAAGGTGAAACAAAATGTAATATTTTTTTTAGCATACCATGCTAGTTTTCAATCAAATGAATACTCGGCTTAACCAACTATTAATGGTAGCCCAGGAAAAAACTCATAAGTTAGAAGTTCTTAATAGCTATAGCTGTTATAACAGACAAAAAAGGAGCAAAAAGTAGTGATTTTTTGAAAAAACCTAAAAGTGCCAATATCTCGAAAACTAAAAAACTTTTACTAAGGTCATGTTGATTTTATCTGATTGATCTGAACCCAATCTACCACCCATGTCATTTTGGCGTGTTATTTCTATGTACTTGTATTTCAACAAATAACAGCCCTATATAAGTTATACAAAACAGGTCATAGATGATTTATTTGAATGTACTAATTCTGAATCACGCTTAGCATCGGACGAATGAAAATGGATATATGTGGATTTCTGATACATAGTTTCCATTTCCAGAACATATATTCGTACTTGCTGTGTTGCAGTATTTGTGCAAGAAAGGATTTTATTTTCAAGTTATGATGTATGACTTTAGATAGTTTTGCTCAAAGTAAGATTCTGATTGTTAGTAGTCATCATATTTGATGGGTTTAAAATGGGCCATACTGGTGAACATTGACCAGTTTCTCAAACAGATTGGCACAAACGTCTCGGACCTACCACTTTTTTATGTTTGATGAGATTTTGAGTATATAACATGTTTTTATGAAGTTGTAAGTTCATTAGTTAGCTTCCTTCTGAAGAAAGGCTGATTTATATTATTCCTAATTTCTTGGTAATATAAGTAGGTTTTTCTAATTGTCCAGTTTACTGTTATATTCAAACTGAGATTTGTCATATGGATAAAACTACATGAATAAGATTGAACAACTAATTTTTATGTTTTATGCTGAACAGAATTGAGAGAATCATTTTTTATACGTTTCGTACCTTGATATTTAATATAAAAAATTTGTCAGTTTTGTCATTTGTTCCAAAAGTGTGTATCTGCACATTTAGGTTTAATATTGACAAAACATTGCTTGGTTTTGGCTTTGATTCATCTGGTTGTTCCCACTAACTATATTCCTCAAATACTTCAGGTTGATGATATTTTTTGCAAGGTCTTCGGATATATTCAACACCATTGAAGTACTGTGTGAACATTGTGAAGTACTGTAAAACTCAAGTTACGAAACTAATTTTAATTCTGCGCAACGCTCTTGTATTGTATACTTGCATTTGTGTAAAAAGATACATGCTTGTATTTTTTATACATGGAAAGTGTTTAATGTTTAAGTTGACAAACATATTTACATCTAGTTCATGCTGCCACCCCCTGCACCAAATAATTAGATTTACTCATTCTTTGTTTTATTTATAGGATAATTCATAAGATATATGCGATTTTAGTGACGGGCTAATTTTTTTTAAGTCTGCCGCTTTTGAAAAAACTATGAAATTGATAAGATATCGAATCTTCAGAAATTTGATCAGGCTCAAAAATCCCATATATTGCGTGAGTGATTCTTTACAGTACATGATATTTTATTAGTAGGTAACCCCAATATTTTGCAAGATGTAATCGAATGATGATTTTTTACTCTTGCTAGTTGTTGTGCATTTACTTCATAGTTATTTGAACGATGTTTTGTCACGTTTTTACTGCCAGTACTTGGAATTTTATTGAGTGATTGGATTTATACATTGTGCTATTTGTGAATCAAGTCCGCATTTCTGAAACGTTTTTAATCTGTTCGAGTTTTTAGCGATATACTGCATTGGAAGTATTTGTTCAGTAAGTACTATTACATTTGTGGTCACTTGAAATAGATTTTTGCGACCTAGTTGCCATGAAGATAATGTTACTACCGGCCGTTTCATTGAGTATGGAACATGAATTTGAAATTACTTTTGGTGAAAAACGTTGGTACTCTGTCATCCCTTTATTTAACTTAAGTTTTATATGTACAGCTGTGGATCTACATGTAAAAACGTCTTATTTTGTACATCGTTTTTATACTGCAATTAGCTAAAAGAACGGTCATACGACTACTTTGGAAAATTGACAAAACACCTTATCTCCTTTATCTCCCAAAAACTGATCGTTTGTCTATTCATTCTAATTTCCATAATTTGTCTCTCAGATGTCGTCGGTTTGTGCCGATGCTCATGCTCAAAACGTGACGTCATTTGCAAAACTACGCTCGATTCACGACATGATCCCAGTATGATACAATGGGCAGAAAGATTTAATTGTATCACGTGAGACGCATTTTGTGTTTAACTCGCGATGAAGTAGTTGGCGGTAACAATAATTTTATGCAAGCCTAGATTACCCATTCTTGTATTTTCTGCCAATTTGTAAAATAAATCAAGAAAGTGTGTAAGTATATAAACATCACACAACAGATTGTGGAAAGATCTCATTTCAATAATTTATCTTATCTGAAGAATTGCTATTTTTATATTAATCTAAATTTAGAATTGTCTTTGTAACATTGTTAAATTTTTCTGGAAATTGTGATATTGAAAATTGATTTTATTGTTTCAATAAAATATTGTCTTGATAATAGGTCAAATAAAGATTATCTATATTTGATGATATCCTCTGTATTGATAAATATTGTAAAAACTATATGTAAATAAAGGAACAAACAGTTGTTTTTATATGAAATATTGTATTATTCTCTGTATACCAGTTATCAATAGGCTGGACTTAACATTTTATAAAAAAAATGTAACAGCTCAAATATCACGCAAAAAAAATTGAGAGATCATGAACGCAATTCTAAAATATCTCCCCAGCATCTTCATTCTTGGAACAATTGACACTTTTTTTGCAATGTTCAGTTTTTGTCGGTCAACGACAAACAAAAAATTACTAACACCGTTTCAGTCCGTACAACCACAGACGAACAACCGACTACAGCTGTTTCATGTTTTCTGGCAATCATCCGCACGGTTTCATCATATATCTTACCATCATACTATACCTGTCAGAATCGACGGCATGTAGCGGTCAGAATGTTGACACTGCCTCTGATGGGAACATATACAGGGTGATTCACAAGTCGTGGCCAAAAATGAAACATCATATACAGGACCGCATTTTAAGGGGGTCTATGTAACATTTTTTCCTCGAGGGCTTCATTAAAAAGATACGGGGTGTTGAAGTTTAAAAATAAAAAACAATTTTTTTTAATATCTTCAAAACCGTCAACTGGAACGAGCTAAAATTTGGTATGTGGGTTAAAAATAAATAAAAAATAACGAGTTTCCGCAAAATTTGTGGCTTAAATTTGATGAAATGCATTATATATTATAAATTCAAAAGTGTGCGTTTCGAAAAAAAAACAGTGGCGTACTATTTGTATTTGGAAAAACAATGCCACTAATCCCCGGTATCTCCGCCACTGGTGCCCGATAATTGTAAGCAAAAATGAAGTAAAGACTTTTGAATATGTGGACAATATTTAGGTCAATCCACATACCAAATTTTAGTTCATTCCAACTACTACGTCAACTGACGGTTTTGAAGATATGACAAAAGATTGTTTCTTATTTTTAAACTTGAACACACTGTATCTTTTTAAAGAAGCACTCGAGTTAAAAATGTTACATAAAAGACCCCCATGAAATGCGGTCCTGTGTATGATGTTTCATTTTTGATTACGACTTGTGAATCACCCTGTATACTTTTACAGTTCAAACAGGTAACTGCCATTCGCGCACACAGTAGTCTATTGTGGTAATAGATGGCTAATAAAAAATTCATACGAGGTCTGTGAATTTAGTGATGAGACTAGTAACACTGGAGGCTTGAAGGAGAGACAGGGGAACATGTGATCCGCCTTCAGTACAAGTTTGAACTCGCTCGAGACACTTGGTGTGCTATGAGGTTTTGTATCAGACTTGGGTGCAGAGGAAACTCTTGCTAAACTTCAGCAGACCTACGGAGATAGTATTGTTAAGAGCCCAGAATGATCGGGGACAAGTTAAATTTCACTTACACCACAGTTCATCAGGTCAAGAACAACTTGCAGTTGCAACATGATAATGCACCTTGTCACGAAGCACTGTCAATAAATGAGTTTTTGGCTAGTGAGAAACAATCCTGCGGCTCCTCAGCCTCCTTATTCGCCTGACCTGAGTCCTTGTGACTTTTTTCTCTTCCCGAAGTTGAAAAATCACCTCAAGGGAACTCATTTTGGGAGTCGAAGAATTACAACGGCTGTAACCGACCAGCTGGAGGCAATTCCGGTATCGGAGTTCCGGCACTGCTTATAAGGATTGGAAGAACCGCCTCCAGTGCTGTGTGGCAGAAGGAAGTTTTTTTGAGGGGGACATTGAAGAAATTTAAAAAGACCCAGTTTCATCACTTAATCTCTAGTGCCAAACAATAACAAAAACGTTCGCTGGTCCTGTAAAAATGAAGTAAACACCAATTTAAATAAGGTAAGGATGAACAGTTTATATCTATATGAATGTAGTATTTATGTACATACAGTTACTTTATCCCGTCTATCTGAATTTGGTAGACTTTTTGTATTGTTTTGTATGGCTTTCAGGAGGACTCTTTGGTTTGATCAGAAGTATCAGTATTTTAAGCGTGCGTAGACTTTCATTTGTCTGATTGTTGTGTGTGAAAAAATGATCCATGTTTACAAAAACAATGAACTAGTGGACATAATTCTAACAAACGAAGAGTGCGAACAAGGTGTAGTCGCAGCATTCAGGTTGTGTGCGGAAAGGTTTCCTGAAATGATCCAGCGATACGGATGATGTTTGTAAATTTAGCTATTAGACTTCGTGACACAGAATATTTAAAAAAAACAATGAGGAGGTCACGCTGGAAGACCTGCTCAACCTGAAATCTTACAAATTGAGGAAGACATTTTATAAATGGTCGAAGATGACCCTATAATGAGTACTAGAACCGTAGCAGCTCAAGTTGAAGTTTGGGTACACGAAATGGAGTGCACAATTTCCACAACAATCATGTTTTGGCGGTAAAAAGAACTTTTGTTAAACATATATTTTCATTGAATATTTGAGATGGCGTGGTAAATGGCATGCTTATTGGATCCTACTTTTTTTCGCCTCGACTGACCGGTGTAGTTTGTTTAGATTTTCTTCGACACAATCTGCTAGAATTATTAGATGTTCCGTTAAATGAGAGACAGAATAATCATGTGGTTCCTACACAATAGAGCTCCACCACATTTTAGACGAGATGTTCATGAATATCTAAATAATGAGTTTCCGAATAGAAGGATAGGGCACAATGGATCCATTACTTTGCCTGCCCGCTCCCCAAATTTAACGCCTTGCGATTTTCTTCCATGGGGCTATTTGAAAGAGTATCATGATGAAGCAGTAACTACTCTGGAAAAACTTCAACAGCGCACTGAAAATGATTGTGATTTAATTCGTGGACACCAGGATTTTATTTTCGAAGCTTGTGAAGAGTCGTGGATTCGCCGAGTTGAGATTAAACGCTTCATATTTTTCTATAACTCTTGCTTGGATCTCACAATTACCCTTGGATATCAGCTCGAATGTAGTATGGTTCATTGGTGTCTTCTCGCGTAGGGTATGTGAGATCCTTAGAATTTAATGCAAACATTTACTTCTAACGCCAATTGGCAAGGGGGTATTGTAATGGCGAAAAACCGTACCACTCATTTCCGTTTGACTCTTTTTTGTCTGGTAATCCTTGGTTCCTCTGAAAATCGCAAAGTAATGCTCGGATGATGAACTATTGTCGTTTATAGGTTTCAAAAATAAATGTCAGCGGAGTTGTGAACAAAAAAAGAAAACTTTCGTTTTACGACGATTTTCCAGTTTCTGACCATTTTTCGTGTGTGGCCAAACAAATTGCTTTGGAAGACATCAAGATCGTGAAACAAACTAGGCACCGTTTCAATAAGTTTTCGTTTTCAGGTTTCTGTTCCCTTTAGGGCGTGGTCAATAAATAAAATGTTTAGGAGGTTGAAAAATTTTGAAACCTTATATATTTTGTGTACTTAAAACATTAAATAGATGTATGTCAATATGTACGAAATACTGAGATAATCTTCATGATTCTATCTTTTAAATATTTCTATGTTATCACTGCAACCATGACAAATTTGTTTGTACACTCCGCTATCCTTATATCAGCTGAGATGAATTATAATACTTTCGGAACATGATACGGAAATTATAGACGCGATTGACATTATTTCTAAGCAGAAAATATGAACTCAAATTATTGTTGAAAAAAAAAAGATTTAGTTAAAAATTTAGGTGCGAGGAATGTTTATGGAATGGAAAACATTCTGTAAAAAGATATATTGACGATACAGAAAATATCAAAATGGAAATATGTATAGCAAGGATTACAAAGAGGTTCCTAGATGTAATTACACATCACTTTTAACAAAAATCAATAACTCTCAAATGTATTAAGATAATTGCAAAAAGTGACCAGTCTAAACCAAGAAGACTCTTAAATATATATAAGATAAATAATTACATAATAAAATATGTGTACTCGAAATATAAAGCTTCTAGTTCTTAACTGAAAATATAAATACTGAATATTCAATATCATAGCATACCATACTACTCCTAAAATGCCTATTGCAATGTTGCATTTTTTTCAATCATATTTGTAGAACACAACATCAAATAATAAAGAAAATTCAATCCAAGCTTTCCATGATCGACAAGAAATCAATAAGTTAACAAAATAATCCATATCGTTTTTACTGTTCACTACTGAAGATATGCTAATAGGCATTTCTTTTTAATTTTTCTCGATAATTCTATCACTTTTCACTTAAAAAACCTACAAATTTTGTTCCTGCTTGTAGACGTCATGGTAAGCATTACGAATTAGGGCGTACGGAAAACATGATTCTAACAGATCCATTGTCAGGAATGGTGATTCCTGAACAATTTGATCTAGCAGCAAATACACTGACTCACGATTTTTAATCGCTTCCTTATCATTCTCTTGACCAAGTCGCAATAAACTTGAAGACGCTAGAGCTAAGAATTCTTTCATCCGATCCTCAATGTCACCTTGGCCACAAATTGTGAACAAAGCTCCGAAAATATGATTGACAGCTAGTGCCATGCAGTGGATATTATTTGTGTGTCCCTCTAATGAGGCTCTATAGAAGGATTGTTCCATTTTTGCTAATCTAGGAATGGAAACTGCTACAAATACCATCAAAAGGCAAACTAGAAGGTGTTCATTTTCACCTTCAGTTTCAGGTTTCTGTAACTTCAATGCTGAGATTAATGTAGGATCCACCTTGCAAGGCAGCCCTGCTGCAGACGTCATCTCACTTACAATTTTCAAGGGGTCCCCACTCGGCAAATGATGGCGGAAGTCTAAGATTGAACTCACTAGGAAAGGGATCCTTTGTTCTAAAACGTCTGTTAGGCAAGACTGTGCTAGCTGTCTAAAAGCTAAGATAACACCAACTATAGTCATTCTTTGCAATACATTGTCGACATTCGACAATTTTTTAGACTGTTCTTTCATAGTTTCGGGTTTGTCAAAGTTTGTCCTTAACGACAGTAAAACATCTTTATTGAACTCTGCCAATTTCTTCAACTCAATAACCTGACTTGCAATGTGCCACATAAGTGTTTCACTCAGTTGTTTCATCCCATATGGACCAATCAGTTCAGCTAACGCTCTCAATTCATTTACATCAGAGTATTCTTCAGGGTTGAAGGGTATAGAACCTTCAACTGTCAGACTTACAAAAGACCTTTGATTCATTGAAAAAATGATGTTACCAGCACTGACTTTTCTTAAGAGAACTTCAGAATACCACTGGGTGTATATGGCAGCAATAGTTTTTTCTCCATGACTGTCCATGGGTTGAGTTTGCTGAAGCAAACAGTTATTGAAAACTCTAGTGATGTCAATATGCACGTAGTTTTCAACAGTTTGCAGCACGTTCATGTAAGACCTAACACATACAAGTAGTTCAGAAGGCTTCGCTATTTCATTGGTATCTGGGTTATACATAACCATCCCTACAAGGGCTTTTGCAAAACGGTTTTCCAAATGTTGATGCAAATATTCTCTTGGAGCAAATGTGTACTCCCAAACATTGATGTTTGAGAAATAATTTATTGCATAGCAAAGCTCTGTTAATGCCATGTGGAGCTTATCCATAGTTGTCAGGTTTTCTCTAGTTTTCCTATAACTTTCCATACCAGGTTTCTCAAATTCAATGGCATTCTTTTTGTTTTTCTCTTTCTTTTTTCGGTTGATTTGTTGGGATATCAGATGAGCGCAATTTTTAGGAAGAAGCTTATCACTCATTTTACATTGGGCATCACAAATTGCTGTAATTATATTTTTTGCTTCTTTTGCCATCTCATCTAAAAACATGTTCACAACAGACAAACTCCTTTCTCGAATATGATGGCGTTCTTCAGGACAAAGCTCATGGGTGCAATTTTGGAAATGACTGCAAATTGATGGGAAGGCTACAATGTAACGATTTTGCGCTGGAAATTCTAAACACATGTGGAACTGATCCTCAAAGATTCTACTGTAGAAGCAAAATATGGACAAGTCAGATGTCTCTCTGAGCATCTCATCTAGGTTATCTACCATTTTGGTATGGAACTGTATTGAATCTAACAGCTGAGCTAGTCCTTTGTTGTCTAAAAGCTTCATAGTAGATTTACCAACAGAAGTGTGAGCCTGCAGCCTAAACCAGTCTAACCTGAATGCAAAAAAGTTGAATGTTTCATTATCTTCAACTTGTTTTACTGATAAATTGGCTATGGTGTTGCAAAATGAGGATAATATAATACCTTCATCTTCAGGGCAATTTTGAAGCTTTTGCATCATTTCTTTTAATGTTATTGCATCCCAATGTGATAAATATTGCACATAATATCGCTGCATAACTTGACTATATTTCCTAACCAGAACTCTTAGATCTTCCATGTGAAAGAGAAGCTCAGGCAGGTGGCGATCTACTAAATCTTCAGTTGATTTTCCTTTAGTTTTATGTGTTGGGGGGTTGTCATTGTGGCGTAACAACCACAAAACTTCATCTCTTGCATAGCAAAGTCCCATGAACACCATCAGGGCTTTGGGGCCAAGCAGACCAGGTTGATCCATAAAAATAAGGCCAAGCTCTTTCAATGCTGTCCTTAAAAATTTTCTCCTTTCTCGATGGTTGTAACCAGCTTTTTGCACAGCATGAGTATAAGCTTCTTTAACCTCAGAAATTCTTTTTCCATACCCTTTCAGAGTATCAAAAAATGACCAAATATACTGATGGGTATGAACGACTTCATCTCTGAATAGTGGAATCACCCAAGATGATTCGAGCGCATTTATAAACAGTTTATTAAACTGATCATTTTGCAAAAGTACATTGTTTATAAGGAGCAAGCCAAAAACAACCCATTTCTCCATTGTATCCATAGACAAATACTCACAAGACATTCTGTCAGATATAACAGGCTTTAAAAGCATTGCTGGGTTACCAACAAGTGTCAGTTTCTGTTCTGACCTCCACTTGTCAGCAGATACATTCCTTGGGACATAAATTGGGATCAAAGAATTCAAAGCTTGGGCTAGCAACCTTGAATGAGGTACAAATTCTTCACATAGCTTTTTGAATGGAATGTCATAGTCCATGATCATACTTCCTAACCTTGGAAAACTCTGATCTGGTGAACCATGAACAATTTCATATGCTGCATTGAACAAACCTAACACAGCTTTTCTATCTTCTACTCTAGATAGCAACACCATTAAACTGACATAGGTTGTCACTAAATCTAAATAATGTTTAGTTAGTTCAAAATTAACAGAAATGTCTAAATCGACTTGAAATGCATCCATGCTAGTCAGCAACTCACAGACATGATCTTTGAAGTCTAAAAGATCAACAAATGTGTAATAATATAGAGAAAGTGATTTGATGATTTCGTTTCTAAGGTTCTGTATAGGAGTTAGGCTCTTGACGTCAATGTTTGGGAACCTACGTACAATGTTCTTGATAGATGACTCCAGGTTTTTGTCAGACAGGAAACCTGGTTTGGATTTCGCATCACCGCAGGCCTTCTTGATGTTGTAGATCCTAGTTAGCATTCCTATCCCACGATCATTGAGAATGATCAGTTTCTCAGCGAGCTTCCGCTCGTTTTGATTCAGCTGTCTGGACATTTTTATTGGCTTGCTAAAAAAACTAGGCGTCAATGTATTAATGCCTTTCACATGAAAAATATACTTACGGTTGAGGAAGCTATATAAAAGTAGAATATTTGAGCTTTTTGATTATATGTGTAGCATTAAAAACATGATTATAAAAAGTTTTGTTGTTGATGTTGTAGGTTATTTGAACTGTCACATTGACATTTGAAAAGTCAAATTCAAGGCGGTGGCACTCACAAGTGCGTTCCGCAATGTCAATTCAGCATTAACCCCCCCCCCCTGACCCTTACCTCGCCATCTATCGAGTGATAGATCAACTGCATTAGCAAAAAGTGCAGATTGTGATTGCTTCTAAGAAGTGGAGTGCCAGTAGGGAGGAATGCGTATACGGCGTATACGGTACGTATACATTGGTAGAAAATGAGTGTCGTGTAACGAAAATTATAAGGTGTTTTTAGAGAATTTTTGTATCATGTTGGGACTCGACACTCGACAAGGATCGAAGTAAATTTAATTTTGAAATACCCGACAGCAAACAATTTTGAAACAGGCCTACAATCGACGGTGTTGGTAAACAGGCAAAATAGGAAAAAATGGAGTCAAGCAGATTGACTCAGTACAATGTTTGCATTGATATAAATGCGTTAAACATTCTAGCTGCAAATTAATCTAACTTTTATTAATGATCCGTGAAATACCAGAAAGTCTACAACCAATGGACAATATCGAAAAATACTCATGGCCGAAAAATAAAGCTCGTGAACCCACGCAGCTTACGGCGACTAAGTTAATAAATACAAAAAGTGACTCAATATACCACCGGTCTGGCTAACTTGTAAATTTACAAATATATCTAATACATATAATTGTGAATGTCTATCCAGTTTTTCAGCATCAAGTCTGAACCAGGCCCCTTCTGCTCGTTCCGGGGCTAAAACCGCGGGGGGAGAAAGCTAGTATAGGTAGGTATAAGAGCTTGCTTGCAAATATCTAGGAATAATAATGAAAATTGCAGTACCTCGCAAGTGCTGTTTCCACTATCAAAGTGTATACTGGTTTTGCGAAGAAGTGACACAAGCGCGCGTGCTCTCCACTAAGGCGCGCTAGATCTAGATACCTGAGCTACTTGTACACTGAGCAGTAATAGAGTTCTAGAGAATGCAAATCCAATGAGATCAGGGGTGTGCGTTACGGAAGAGGTCCAGTTTAGGACATTTTAGCCAATTCGCTTTTTTATCACCGGTTTTCGTATCTGAAATCTTCAATATAATAAAGCAAATATCAGCAAAACATTCCAGTGAGGAAGGCGAGATTTCTTCTTCATTAACGTTGTAGAGTTTATCAGTGAACCAATGACATATTGGGTAAAACAGTATAAAGGGACTAGAAGCAATATAACAAAGTATATAGGCATTGCTCTTCTGTAAGCCTTTTCGAAAGTATTCGAAAAAAGCTACAACCCTAAGTTAACAGCATTCACATTAAAACTAGAAATTTTGGGTGATTATCAGTATTGTTCTCGCAAACGCAAATCAACGTAAGATGCAGTGTTTGCAGTATATGAAAATATTAGAATGCATTGATATCAAAGATAAAATAGCTGCATTATTTTTTGAGTTAAGCATACCTTTTTACATTGTGAACATTGTGTATTAAAGGGTGCGCTTATGACTGGCTGCGCTCATATTTGACAAATCGGACTCAAACAGTTTTTATAAGAAATAATGTTATGCAAATGTCTGAATCCAAAGAAATCATGTAGGGCGTTGCCCAAAGAAGTATTTTGGGTCCTACGTTATTTATATTTTTTGTAAATGATTTAACTGCAAGATGCCCAAATATCTCCATTTCATGATATGTTGATGATACGGCTTTCCTTGCTAAAAGCTAAAGATAATGCTTTATTTAGAGAGTATGCCTACAGATCTTGTGTTGAAATGAAAAATTACTGTGATGCTAATGGCCTGGCCTTAAACTGCATCCAAGCTTAGTTGAACGTGTAAAATACTGTTAAACTGAACTTATTAAATCTTATTAATTGTGACTCCAGCGTTAATCAAAGCAATCATATTAAATACTTGGGTGTTCATTTTGATGAAACTCTTGCATGATACATGGTCAAATGTCATATACAGGGTCCGTCAGAAACCACGCATGTTTTTTAAATGAGTAGTACAGTCAAAATAAGTATGGGAAAAGTATTTTATTATATCAATCAATATGTCGGCCATATGGCGCGCTTGAGCAGAAATGCCGGAAACAAGCCTGTCCCGAAATGAGCCCATTGCATCCGCCAGCATCCTTGCAGGAATTTGGGTTACTTCTCTTCTTATTTCCTCCATCAAATCGACGAGGGTCCGAGGCTTGCTTTGGTAAACTTTTGATTTCAGGTAGCCCCATAAACAAAATCACACGTTAACAGGCCCGGGTAGCGAATTGGCCATGGAATATCGCCTTGACGTGAAATGAGATGTTTTGGGAATTTTTGCCGAAAGAGTTCCATCGAAGTGCGAGCTGTGTGAGATGTTGCGTCGTCTTGTTGGCACCACACTGTTCTGAGACGGACACGCTGACGTCGAAGTTCCGGAAAAAAAGTTGTTCAGCATGTGGATGTAACGCTCCGAATTCACAGTAGTTGTTTCTCCATCATCCTCAAAAAAAAATTAAGGTGAATAATCATCGTTGGGCCTACTGCACACCAAACTGTAACTTTCTGGGTATGCAGGGGGTGCTCATGCAACTGTTGGGGTTCACTGGAGACCAATATCGACAATTTTGTTTATTGACGTATCCATGTAAATGAAAATGTGCTTTATCACCCATAAACAACGTCATGTCATTGTTATCCAACTGTTCAATCATGAGCTGCGCAAAATTAACACGTTGTGCATAATCCCCTGGCAACAGTTGTTGACAAACTTGGATTTTGTAAGGAAAGAACACCAAATCCTTCTTCAAGATGCGACGTCCAGAGGACGCCTGGATCCCTAGGGAACTGGCACGCACACGGACGGAACGATTCGGGCTTTGCAGCGTGTCAACTCTCATTCTGTCTACGTTTTCGGGGGTTCTAACGATACGGTTTCGACCTGGCGGTTTTTTCTTCACCACATTACCTGTTGTGATGAATGCTTCCACCCATCTCACAATGGTCTTACGGTCTGGAACTACCCCACGACGTGGATAACGAAAGTGTACGGGAAACTCACGTTGCGTTCGAACGTCTGACTCGCCATTTTGAAAGTACCGACGTACGGTGAACACACGATGCTCAACGTTCCAAACAATCTTGCCAAATGAAACGGCACCTCTCTCACTATCCAACACGCCCTTCCCCACCGACACAGGCCCAGCCCAATCGATGTAGTACCCATTCGTTCTTTCTGACGGACCCTGTAGATATTATTCCCTGTAAACTAATGACACACTGTTATAAATTATGGCAGTTGAAATTGTATATCAGCACAAACGTTCTGTTAATGTATTATTTTGCCTAAGTATGTTATGTACTCAATTACTGGATACTCTGTTGGGGAAACTGTACTAGGATTAACGAAATCTTTTCAATCCAAAAGAGAATCTTAAGAACAATATTTGACGAAAATAAGAGATTTTTATGTCACACATTATTCAAGGGCTATGGTATTATGTCAGTTTTCCCCTTTATATTTACAATTGTTTTGTTTATGTTGACAAAAATAAAAACAAATTCAAATAGAGAGACACAGGCATCATGAACAATTGGCGCCCAAACCCAAATTGTCAATGCATAGCCTTGCCCTCACGTCAAAAAGGGACCAAACGTTATGTTTTTAAAACGGTACCTATGTATGTACAGGGTTTGTCCAGAAAGTAATAGGACTGAGTCGATTTAAAAAAAATATTGAGCCAATCGTTACAATTCTTTAAAAAATTTCAAAATAGGCTCCTTCTGCGTCGATGCAGCGCTGGCAGCGCGATTTCCAAGCATTGAAGGCGCCACGGAAGGCCTTCTCCGGAATAGCCATGAGAGCCGCGGTACATGCTGCTTGGATTCCTTCTGTCGTTTCAAAATGCTTGCCCTTCATCGGTCTTTTCAGGCGAGGAAACAAAAAAAGTCCGGGGGTGGGGGGCACATCTGGGCTGTAGCGCGGCTGCGGAAGCGTTGGGATGCCGGCCTTGGTCAGGTAGCTGTTCACAAGAAAGGCGGTGTGAGCCGGGGCGTTGTCGTGGTGTAACTTCCAGTCGGCTGCGATGTCTTGTCGGACCCAGATTTTGGTAAATTTAACATCTGGGCAATTAAACGAATACTTAGTCGACGGTCTGAGTTCAAAACTTTGCGCACACGAGTCACATTATCGGTGTTTGTCGAAGTCGAAGGTCTTCCAGCACGATCTTCCTCCCGGCCCTCCAAAAAGGCCTGGTGCCACCAAGACACACCACTTCTTGCTAAAGCAACACCTGAGTAAGCCTGCTTGATCGTATCAAACGTCACTGTCGCAGATTTACCGAGTTTCACACAGAATTTAATCGCGTACCTCTGCTCTAACGAACGTTGCATTTTCGGCTTGCACCACTCACAGAAACAAGTCGTGCGAAAATGCCTGTCCTGACTCTCCAAGTGCTCGGAGACAACTGACCAGCCGCTCATTCGTTAGCTAGGAACGCCCTCTACCGAATCCAGTCGGTGCGCGCACGCTCCGAAGTATAGTCATGGCGGAAGAAAATGAGTCCCATTACTTTCCGGACAAACCCTGTATAACGCGCTGTGTATCCACATAAAATATGACAGTCTTTGTAAGACATAACGGGTAATTTTTTAAGAGGTATAGGATTTGGTTTTCAAAAAACACAAAAAATTTGAAAAAACGATTAAATCTTTATTTGAGTCGATAGAACGGTCGATATAATTTAATGTTTAAAGATTATTTCATGTAAATGTTGGCCGCGGCTCCGCTTTAGATGGCCCATGCGCAAGGTCCAATTTTGGTACACTCTCTCCAACATATCGGCCGGTATCTCACGAATAAATGCTTCAATATTGACTTCCAGTGCGTCAATCGTTGCTGGTTTATCCCTATAGACATTAGCCTTAACATGGCCCCACAAGAAATAGTCCAACGGCGTTAGATCACACGATCTAAGCGGCCAATTGACGGGCCCCAAACGTGAGATAAACTGTTCACCGAACTCGCCTCTCAATAGGGTCATTGTTTCGTGTGCGGTGTGGCATGTGGCCCCGTC